ATTATAGGCCATGTTTTCCCTGAAGCCTGTACCCAACTTCATGTATTTCCTGCAATAATTCTTGTTTTTGTTAAAGTTACAAAGAATGGCTTCAGGGGTTACGTTAAATTTTCACTCGCCAGAAACACTCAGATGATTTATACTGTCTATTGGCTGGTAGAAAGTAGAGTTGGAAATTGAAGTTGAGCAACCAAGAGGGGAGCTGATTATTACCCAGTGTTGGAGCTGAAGGAGGAGGTTATAAGCAGACTGGGGCTAATTATTATGGCAATAAGTGGAACCGAAAAAATGAAAAATGGAAGCAGTAGGGATGGAATTGGGGAGACTATAAGAAGAGGGAGGGAAGGAAGCCAAGAGTCTTTGGATATTTGTCTGTTATGGGATATTGAATTTATGTTTGTGTGAGTGAAGGAGCCTCCAGTGGGATAAACAGAAATAGAGAGGAATTAGTAATTGAGTTGAGAGTTTGGAAGAGAAAGGCAGAACTGTATGGGAAGAGAAAAAGTTTACAGTTTGAGGCTGATTCCTCCCTTCTTCAGATATTCAAGATCTGAGGCAAGTTACTTATTTTGTGGCTGCAGCCATTTGCCTGTGAAATGTGGGCTTAATGGAGCAGTTTGTGTTCCAACTACTTTTTTTCATTCAAGTTATGTGCCTAGTATTCTTGCTTTTCTGAAGAATATGTATTTTGCAACTGACCCCAATTTAACTGATTCATGACATTTCTTTGCTCCCAAATTGGAGATTCTTGTCTTCATTGGTGCAGAAGAGAAGATATGGTAGTATTACTGGGAAAAAGATCTCTAAAATTTGATAGGACATGACACGAGAGCCTTCAATTTTGGAGAAAAGTGGACGACTACTTTCCTTGGACTGTGAAATGTGATTTATTCTAACACAGAATTAAAGGCGGGGGGGGACTCTAAATCCAGCTTCTGTTGGGTGCAAGAATCCAAATTCAAACATGTGCAACAGATGACTGCCTGGCCTCCATGTGAATACATTTAGTGAAGAGAAGCATGCACTGGATAATTGATTTCACTGGGTAATTGATTTTACTGGGCAATTGGTTCCACGGTATTATTGCTTTTAGTATTAGGAAGTTTTTATTTTAACATCTAATTAGAATCCATTTACCTGCAATTTAATCTTTATTTTGTATGTTGTACTGTGACATAATAGAGAACAGGTCCTGACCTTCCTCTGAGCGAATACCCTTTCAGGTATTTGAAAAGTGCTGTTCCCCCCCCCACACCTTTTCAAAGCTAAAAATTCCCTAATTGTTCAGTCTCTTTGTATGACATCATTTTTAGTCCCTGGTTATCCTTGTTGTACTTCGTGAATTTATTCATTTCTGTAAAACCTTTTTAAAGAACAGGTGCCTGAAAGTTGGGTTTTTGAGCAAAGTAGAATAAAGTTTCCTACAGTTTAAAAACTATGCTCATGTTGATGTAGTCTAAAATTGCATTTGCTTTTTTTGAAGTCACATCATACTTCTCACTTATCTTCCTTCCTTCCTTCCTTCCTTTTCCTGCCTTCCCAAATATTCTTCTAAGCCTTGTATTCTGTATTTTCAAATCTGTGAATTTGATTTCTGTTATCTGAATTAAAGACTTTGCATTTGCCTTTGTTTAATGTAATGATTTTAACTTTCAGCCCGTTTCTCTAATTTAATAAGATAATTTTGGATTATATTATTAGTATATTGATACCACCCAGTGGATAAATATAAAAAGTTGGAGGAGCTGTTCCAGCTATTCAGTAAGTGAATAAATCCCTTAGATCTATTTTTTTCTCCTTCTTTTCAAAATGTAGATGCTTCCTACCTGGATCCACTTGGACCGCAAGCTGAGAGGCCAAAAACAGCACTAAGGAAAAAAATGGATGAAGATGAGTTTGCTGATGAAGACGTAGGCGATGATCTGCTTCCAGAATAACTTTTTAGACCAGTTCAATTATTTTTTAAAAGTTTCAAAAGAAAAATAAATTCTTAAGAGAGATTTATATTTATTTGAACACTATATATATATATCTGTCTATATATATATATATATATATATATATATATATGAAATCTTTATTTTAAGTAAAGTTTTTATAGTAAGAATTTAAAATTTTGTGCATTTGTTATCAATCATATCTTTTGTCTCATATCTTTTATACTCACCCAAACCGCCTAAATGATGATCTATGGGACCAGTGAACAGCCTAAGGCTGAAGCATTAAGCATCTTTATATCATAACCCATATATTTGCCTTGATAAGCATAGAGTTTTGTTGGAGAGCAATTGCTCATCCTAAAATGTCTACTTGAAGTATTGCCACTGAAAGGAAAGCTTAAGAGGCAAGCCATGAGTGGGAGGACATCAGTCATGGAAGCCAAAAACAATTGTGATGGCAGGTGGATTTGTTAATCGTATCAGCCCTTCCCAGCTCTTCATGACTGATTCAGGAGAACCATTCCAGGGCATTTGAGGGAATACTTTAGAAAATGAATTGAGAATATCTAACAATGCTATCTATGGAGATAAATTACAATTTCTAAGTGTAAGAAATTTTAATCATTCCTAATCATTATTTGATTATATTTGACCACAATTGATCCATGTTTTTCAAATTGCAAAATGTGAACTTCCTGTCTTGTACACAGCCGAATTTTATTCAGTTCCGTGCACATGAGATTTATTTATGCCATGATATGATAATCTCAGAATATTTTTTTAACCAAGTGAAGTTGTTCCTTATTGTAACTGAAGCAATTTTCTATAAACCATCCTATACCTACTAGGTTAGCTCTGTTCCATAATTTTCTCTGCATCTGTGAAAAAACTGCAGCACACCATCTGTCAAGAACTTGTGTCTAACCATGTTCTAATCTTAGAGTCAAGTTCGTTTTCTGCAGAGATTGTGGGAATTAATCCACAAACTGAAGTAGGAAATTAGTACTGAGCACATCTAAGAAATGATAGATTTGAATAAAAAAAACAAAGGGAATGTTTCAGAGCTTCACTTTTTCTAATTAGCTAATAAATAATTAACTGACAGATTAGGAAGCCTACATATTTTTCCATGCTTACTAAAACAGATCTATAGTATGACATCACATCCAGCTTTAGGGAGTCATAATTTAGATATTTGCTGGACTTGTAAATTAGCAAAACCCATTTGAATCTATAGAGGCCTTTTATTTTCTGCATCTTCCTCATTATTTGGAAAGTGTAGAAAAATGAAGCAATGCCCAAATATCCTTTGCAGTTAATAATGATAAATTTTAATTAATTACACATATTTCATTACATAAAGTTTTAAGCAAGAAAAAAGCAAAACTGGGATAAATTAATCTTATGCTCTCTAAAACATCTTTCCATCACAAATAGGTTTATTGAAGTTTTAAAGATGAAGACTACTTTAGAGCAGCATTGCCTTTTTAAAATATGTTTTCAATTTGCACCATGTTACAATTTGAAACGGAGCGAAATGTCCAATGCTTAATTTATCAACACTGACCGTATTTTCCCTAGGCAAGTATATCAGAGCAAGTTTGGGCAACCATTTTGTTTCTAGAGATAGGGTACAGGCATTGTGGACGCACACTCGCACACAAAAGTAAGCCATACATTTAAAGTGCTCTGTAGGTAACTCTCTCCCAGTCATGGATCTTGTACCTCCTTGTAGTAATAAGCACAAAAACGTTGGGATTTGTATGACTGAATGGTACACTCTGCTGTAAGTCATCATAATATATTGATATTGGTTCCGGATTGCTTATTTTTACTCTATAACTATCATTAAGTGTTGTACCTTATGATTCTTGATGAACGTATCTTTTCTTTTATGTATGCTGAGAGCATATGCACCAAGACAAATTCCTTGTGTGTCCAATCACACTTGGCCAATAAAAAATTCTAATTCTAATATCACAGTCACCCTCTATCTCAATGGACTGCAGATCCACCAATGCAGAAATTGGTATGTGGGCTCTGGAGAGAAAGTGGAACTAAAAAATATTTACAAAAAAACTCGTATTTCCAACAACCATGTGAGCCAACAATTATTTGCCTTGTGACAGGGGGATTCCTCCCAGAAGGCTTTGCCAAAAGTGCTTACTATACAGGTAGTTCTTGACTTATGACCACAATTGAACCCAAAATCTATGTTGCTAAGTGAGACATTTGTGAGGTGAATTTTGGCCCCATTTTAACATCTTTCTTGCCACACTTCTTAAGTGAATCACTGCAGTTGTTAAATTAGTAACCCAGGTTGTTAAGCGAATCTGGCTTCTCCATTGACTTTGCTCGTCAGGTCGCAAAAGATGAGGGGAAACCGCAACCACCCTAAATGTGAGTCAATTGCCAAGCGGTCGAATTTTGATCACGTGAGGATGGGGATACTGCAATGCTTGTAAGTTTGAAAAATGGTCATAAATCACCTTTTTCCAGTGCTGGATTGTAACCTCAAAACAGTCACTAAACGAACTTTTGTAAATCGAACACCACCTGTATAACTATTTCTTTACATATGTCAGGATCCAGTTTATAGGACTTAAAATGTCTTTCTAAATAGTGCATCCAGATAAAGAACTTACTTTAAGCACCAGCCATCTTGTCCTCTCCATTCCCCCTTTTTGGGGATGGGGTGGGGTTCTTACCCACGTTGTTGAATCAACGGCTCTTAGTAATTCGAAATTTGGCTACAACATCGAATTATCGCTTCGAGATGATTTTTGTCCCGGGGCTCCGATGCAAGGCCGAGTCCCCTCCGGATCGGTGCGCGAAAGAACCCGGCGTCCCCCGCTTCATTCAGCCCAGCGAGAAAAACGCTCCAGCAACCGGCCTTTTTCCTCCGGCGCCTCGAAGGGTTCTGGCACCGGCAGCCGGCGGTTCTGCTGCGAAAAGCCGGGCGCTTTTCCAACTTTTCCTCCGCTCCCCCCTCCCCCCCAGTCCAGGGCCAGGAGGACCCCAAGCGCTCGCCAAGCCAGCCCTTCCCTCCGCTCCGCGCGCTGAGGCGCCCCTGGCTGCCATGCAGACGGCCAAGGTAAAGACGGAGCGGGAACGCGTGTCGAGGCGGGGAAGAAGCGGGGCGACGCCTTTGGACCTGCCCGCGGTGCCAACTTCGACCCGACGGGTTCGGAGGCCGTTTTGCTCCAGCCTGGATCGCTTTGCAAAACGTGCGCTCTTGCGCTTCTTCTTCCCCGTTCGGCATCGCGGGCAAGCGGGGCGGCTTAAGGCCAGCCACCCAAGCGCCGCGCTTCTCCTTTCGCCTCTGCTGCTGCTGCTGCTGTTTCTGGCGAGCTCGCGTGGGAAATAAAAGAGCGGGCGTCGGGGTAAGATGAAGGCGACGGCAAGGCGCTTTGGGCTGCGAGCTGTCGGGATGAGGAAAGTCAAAGCGCGCCTTTGGAGAGACGGGCTGGCGGCGGTGAGTAAAAGTGGCGGAACTGCGACGGCTGGCCAGGCTGCTTATGGAAAGTAACAGGCGGAGAACAGTAACAGTAACAGTAACAGAGTTAGAAGGGGCCTTGGAGGTCATCTAGTCCAACCCCCTGCTCACGCAGGAGACCTGTACTAGGGATTCAGCTCAGGGTCTTAGCCACTGAGCCACCCAAGTCAGGCATAAGCCCAGAAGAGCCGTCTGCTTGAACGAGCCCCGTAGATCCTCGCTGTGGCAAGAAAGCGGCGTTGCTTTTTTCACTTGTAAGAGCCGCTGATCGCTGCGGCGCTTCAGGTGAAACCAGTGGTGAAATCCAATTTTTGTTACTATCGGTTCTGTGGGCGTGGTGTGTCTTAGTGGGCATCTTAGTGGGCGTGGCAGGGGAAGGATACTGCAAAATCTCCATTCCCACCCCACTCATGGGGAAGAATATTGCAGAATATCCATTCCCACCCCACTCTCGGGCCAGCTAGAGATGGTATTTGCCAGTTCTCCGAACTGCTCAAAATTTCCGCTACCGGTTCTCCAGATCCTGTCAGAACCTGCTGGATTTTACCCCTGGGTGAAACGTATTTATATGAATAACTTTGGTGCCCTGTTGTAGCTGATTTTACCAACCAACGGTTCTTGAGTCAATTTTGAGCAACAGTGAGCAATTTCAGTCAGAAACCTAAAGGTAGAAAAGAATGCTTGAATATCAGCAAGAATATTGAATATTATTATTATATTATATAAGCTATATTACTCCCTCGTTCATTCAATTTCTATAGTTACCCATCCCAATCAATGATTCTGGACGGCTGTTTCCAAAGTATTGTACAATCCTGATATATTGTAGAACCAACAATTATGGGTATAAATTGCACTAATTAGTTGTGGGTTTTTAAAGGATTTGTCCCATGTGGCTGCAGAGTCTGCTGGGCGGGTGATCCACTGGACTTGGCTAGTTCTAACAGTATTACTGTCAGTACAATGGGGATTCGTCTATCAGCCAACATCACAAAACCTGATCCTGATTAGGGCTGTGAGTGTAGGAGAAGTGGCAGAACTTGAAGATGGAGTCAAAAGAGAATTCTCTACCTAGCCATAAGTGGACTGAGTTCAACCACTCTTGAATTCTAGCATCTAAATAGTCCTATCCTGTGCATAGGCATGAGTAATATTAAATTAGTTTAATTTGAACTTCATGTGTGGTCCTGCTCTTTTGCACCTGACAGGAAGTTCTTGAGTCAATTTCTAGCAATAATGGGCCAGAAACCAAGAGGTAGAAAAGAACACTTGAATCAAACCATTGCAATAGGACAGGAATCCATACTAAAGCATCAAGGTCATCCAGCTGGCTTCCATTAGTAAGGGAGGACTAGACCTGGATCACCCCACTCTTAGTCCAGCACCTTAGCTGGATCCAACACCACATCTCTGGATATGGGTTCCAAAGTTTAGAATAGAATAGAATAGAATAGAATAGAATAGAATAGAATAGAATAGAATAGAATAGAATAGAATAGAATTCTTTATTGGCCAAGTGTGATTGGACACACAAGGAATTTGTCCTAGGTGTATATGCTCTCAGTGTAAATGAGGAAAATAAAATACATTCTTCAAGAGTAAAAAGATAAAACACTTAGTGATAGTCAAGGTTACTAATAAACTATCAAATTGTACTAGGAAACAAATAAATAAAACATAAATTGGACGATACAAGCAACATGGTTATAGTAATAAATGGGAAGAGATAGATACTAGTAGATACTAGTAAGGAAGAGATGAATAATAGTAATATAGTCTTAGTAAATTATTTGACAGTGTTATGGGAATTAGTTGTTAAGCAGAGTGATGGCATTCGGGAAAAAACTGTCCTTGTGTCTAGTTGTTCTGGTGTGCAGTGCTCTATAGCGTCATTTTGAAACAATTTATGTCCAGGATGTGAGGGGTCTGTAGCTATTTTCACAGCCCTCTTTTTGACTCGTGCAGTATACAGGTCTTCAATGGAAGGCAAATTGGTAGCAATTGTTTTTTCTGCAGTTCCAATTATCTGTTGAAATTTGTGTCTGTCTCGTTTGGTTGCAGAGCCAAACCAGACAGTTATGGAGATGACAAGATAATCAATAATTTCTCTGTAGAACTGAATCAGCAGCTCTTTGGAGAATTGGAGAAGATCTCAGATGCAATGTTTCCAAATTCAGGCTTAAGCAAACAATATGATCAGTCAAGAAAAACTCCCTGAAATTGTTTTTAACCAACATTCTTTTTCTGCATGTCAAATTCTATAGCATTTTGTGGGGTTGGGAGGGGGAAATGAATCCCTTTGTTTCTCTCCCATATAAAGCTATAAATATCTTTTATATCGTTTCATCTCCTGGTCTTTACAGGGATGGATACTGGTTTCTCTTCTTTTGTGTGGGCTGGGTTTCTCCAGAGTTGAAGCTGTCAAAATAAGCAAGCGTCCCATGCGCTCTCGATCCTGTGCAGACCGACCTGAGGAGCTTTTGGAACAGCTGTATGGAAGACTCACAGCTGGCATGCTCAGTGCCTTCCATCACACCCTGCAATTGGAGCCCATGGAAAATGACCAGAACATCAGTTGTCCAGTGGGAGGCAGGCTAGCTACTGACAAGAAATACCGGCTCCCCATCAATCTCAACAGTGTCTCCCCTTGGTCCTACAGGTAACCTAATCTTCTCCTCCTCCTTACCTTTCACATTTTAAAATGGGCCTGGTGGCTCAGCAGACTAAAAGCATTGTGATTAACACCAGCTGTCTGCAATTATTGTAAGTTCAAATCTCACCAGGCTCAAGGTTGACTCAGCCTTCCATCCTTTCTAAGGTAGGTAAAATGAGGACCCAGTTTGTGGGGCCAATAAGCTGACTTTGTATAAATATACAAAAGTATGGAGGCTATTGCTTAACGCATTGTAAGCCGCCATGAGTCTCCGGAGAAGGGCGGCATATAAATCAAATTTTTTAAAAAATGGGTTTAAGTGGAAATGTTTCCAGCATCGTGCTTCAACTACTGTAGCAAACGAGCTTTCATTTTACATAAAATATGTAAAATAAGCCTAAATTTATTCATAATTAAAAGGACAGTTAAAGGAAGGAAGAAAAAGAGTTGGGTTAAAGTTAATATTAAGATATGGGAGGGTCCTCTGTTTACTCATAGCAGCCAGTCATCAATTTATAGTTCCTTTTCTTTTTAAAAAAAAAAAGTGGGTATGCAATCCATTTGCACATGAGGCATATGTTTTTTCCAGTAGGCAGTGGCTTTTCGATGTCTTTTTATTTGTAAGCTATCTAGAGTTGGCAGGGAGTCAGGCAGCCTAGAAATGAAATGAATGAATGATAAAATAAATAATAAAATAGAAAAGGGGGTTGATTGTGCAGTTGTGCCCATCATCTCCAAATGTTTCCATATTGATGTTTGATTGAAACCAGGGAACTCAACTCGCATTATTCCAGGTGACAGTAAATTGTCCAGTTCTTTATTTTCCTCTTGGCCTAATAACAGCATGATAATGTAAAGAATATCTCAACATTCTGCTATACAACATTCCTCTCCATTCAGATCAACCAAGAAATAGAGGGACAAAGAGCAACAGGAGAGGTAGCGGGGGAAGTTGGGACAAAATGTCCAAAGTGAATCTTTCTTCTTTTCCTTTGGCACAGAATCTCCTACGATTCTACCAGGTATCCAAAATACATTCCTGAAGCCTACTGCCTTTGCAAAGGCTGTCTTACAGGTGATTACGGAGAAGAAAATCTCCATTTTCGAAGTACGCCAGTATTTATGCCGACAGTCATCTTGCACCGAACCACATCCTGCACGGGAGGCCGCTACGTTTACACTGAGGATTATGTCTCTATTCCTGTGGGCTGCACCTGTGTACCAGAACATGAAAAAGAAGCACAGCAAGTGAATTCCAGCATAGATAAAAGAGCAGTAAAATTGCTGGGGAATCAGAATAATGACAAGCCAGCATCCAAATGAGGAACGGAAAAGAGGCCAGAAACAAAGGATGTTTTGGTTCATAACTTCTGTTTCAGAGAACTGTAATCTCCACTTCCTGCAACAGAGTTCATTTCACAGAACTTGGGGTCAATTGTAATTAAAATTGTACTTCCTTTAAAAAAACAGTGGGGTTTGCAAGATGCTTTTTTCCTCATAATTGGAGGTTTGACAGATCATGGAGAGTTGCAATACTGTAATGCTGGGGAACACTTACGTTGAAGCAGTTTAAGATATTTAAAAGTGCTAGATAGATGTTCTATATTCCAGTGCTTTGCTATCAAATACTCAAGATATGCTGAGCAGGGATGCAGCATTGATTTTTTGTGTACAATAAAATCTTGGTTCAACAGGTTTTGGATACAATGGACAAACTTTTCATTTGGATTGTTTATCGATCAAATGAAGTTTTTATTGAAAGTTATGCTATTTGTATCAATTACATAACACACATGACATACATTGATGCAAATGACAAATTCTGATTTAGCAAACATTCAGACTTAATGGATGTCCCCTCCCCACTCAGTGGTCTATGAAATCAATGTTTCATTGCATTTTCTCTCAATCCTTACACAGGATGCAAGTGAGGGCCCCTGAAAATGAAAGCGAGAACAACATAAGTGAATAAAACATTTTTTCAAAGAATGCTGAAAAATTAGCTGTGCCTCTGCAACTGATTTTTTAAAAAGTGTAAGTAGCTTTGACTTGGTATATAGAATCTTATATTCTGGACCAAATATAGTTGAGTAGGGTATTGTGTCAAAAGCACTAGAATTATTTTAAAACTGTTAAAAACTATTAAATACATTAAGCTTGCTGATGGCTATCAATGTAAATGCTTTTAAAAAAGGGACTCAATAAATGTATAGAGAATAGATCTGTCAGTGACTATTGATCTTGGTTGGTTTATTAGCTCTAGCAGAAATGTACTAAAGGAGTGTGGGTTGCCAACTATAGAAACATTAAGTACTTGTCAATCGATGTTCATTGAATAAATAACCATTGTTTAAAAACATTCAGGTTTGGGTTTTACTGGGTTTACATCCTAATCTGGCACATGCTAGCCATAGCTCTAGGAATATTGTGATCCTGAAACATTATTTGTGCTGGAGCAAATCTTGCCATCTACACTACAAGAGATGACCTCAATCAGACAATCTTCAGCTACACTGCAGTAGCTGGCCAAGTCCTGAAGAGCCCCAATTTGGAGAAAGCTGCCTGTGACAGAGGTTACTTCTCGCACCATTGTGGAAAGCAAAGCATTGTCTGGTTTATGAGCCCTTTCAGACGCCTGGAAATATGCCGATTGCCTCTCTAAACTATTTTAACTTTTGGTAGCAGTTTTGGGAATACATAAACGAACATCAATAAAATGAAATCATGGAGAGTTCAAAAAAAAACCAAAACAAAAGGCAGACAAATGTGTTTTGGCATTCCTTTCTCAAGAGAGAGAAATGGCCAAATTCAAGGAAAACATGAGCCAAACTCTTGAAAAGTAAAAGTTCTCTGAATTGTGTATGCACAAGGCATCTGCCACTACCTCCTGAAACAGCAAGACACAGAAAAACTGCTTAGCCCTGCTTTCCTGGAGTTTAATCATTTCAAGCTCCTTTCCCCCCCAACTTCAATTGCCATACTAAATACGCATTTCTCAAATTGATTTCTTTTCCAAATTATTCATTGGTGACTATCCTTGGAGCCATCTGTTTGTAACAGCTACAAGGCAGGAGGGGTGACTAAGGTGGGAAAGAAGAGCAAACCGTGACACCGGTGATTTAATCACCGAATTGGTGATTAAATCTGCATTTGATTGGGAATTGGGTCTCACTTCAAGAGGGACTGGATTCCTGTTTCCATCATTCCATCTCTCTCCGTCTCCCTCCCTCCCTCAAATGCAGAAATAAAATGTGACAATTTTAGTGTCTGCATCCAAATTTGGGGATGAGATTTGGGAATTTATTTATTTGGGACCTTATTTTTTTTTTTGCAATAGAAATAAAAAGCAGTATACTATAATGGTTAATTTTGGCTATGGAATCTCTCTCTGTGTGTGTGTACACATGCTCCTTTATCAGCTTGTTTGAAGGCTGCCAGCCTAGGCTGAGGAGACCAAAGAATCAGAAGCAGATTTCAAGCAATGTGTTTTTCTTCAACTGATATTGACAAAATGGATAATTATTTTATTAGATTTAGGTACAGTACTGCCCAACTCCTAGGCAATTATGAATCATGTGCTGAGAAGGCTGGAAAAAGAAAAGCCTGGAAATTAATCTTAGAAAGAATAATGGAAAATACAATTTATTTATCCCAACAGAGAAAACTGAAGAGAAAGGATAGCTGTCTTCTATAAGGCTGTTATTCAGAGATTAAGTGGGTTTATTCTGTCCTGATCCAAAAGACAGGAAGATCAAATTCTGGGCAATGTGAAAACCCTTTGTCTGAAATCATAGAGAGCCACTGCATCCAAGCAAGAATTCAAGCAAAACAGAATGCTTTCTTCCCGTGCATACAATATGGAAATAAAACAGAGCCATGGTGAATTTCTAAAGTATCAGGTCCATCTAGGAAACAAGATGGATTAATCAAAATCTAAGGAACAATTAGGTAAGAACTTTTGTATCTGTACTGGATTCCTATCATCTCTTGCGTCTCTGGAAATCTTTAAACTTTTATATCATAGATTAATCATTTAAGGTGTCCTTCGTTTCTAGAAAACTTAACCAATTGATGAATTTGTCTCTATGTCTATCACTGATATGTGTCTTTTCCCACTAAACATTCTCTTTAAATTATCTCCCAGACCAAGCATATGGCTCACATAGTATCTGTACTGAAAAACAGGAACATTTGCAGTTGAAAAAACTCAAATAGTCTTTACTTTATAAGGGGGGAAATGACACATGATTTCATCAAGGCAAACATATGATTTTAATTTATTTCATGCCAGAAAATTGATTTCCTATTCACTGTTGTTAAAGACTCTAAAGATTCTTAAAATGTTTTTCGGTACTATTACATGAACAAAAACTCACAGCTCTTTCTGCTCAAGTGGAAAGAGCTTATTTCCAACTAGATGCACTTGGACTACATCAGCTACCAAACCAGTAACAATTTGAAAGTTATTGGTGGGTAAAATGAAGACCCAGATTGTTGGGGGCAATATGCTGACTCTGTAAACCGCTTAGAGAGGGCTGTAAAAGCACTGTGAAGTGGTATATAAGTCTAAGTGCTATTGATATTGCTACCTCCTTGTAGTAAATTGTTAAACTGCTTGGCAATGAGTAGGTGTAGACCAGGGGTCTGCAACCTTAAACACTCAAAGAACCATTTGGACCCAATTCCCACAGAAAAGAAAACACCGGGAGCCACAAAACCCTTCCCGTGCCTGACTATTTCTTGAGCGGCCACAAAACTAGCATATGTAGTTGAATTAAATGTTCTGAAACTTTTCTTCTATTTATCCATGGTTGGCCTACCGGGGGTTGAAAAGCTCAATAAATCGCATGCCGGCGGGTGTCGCACATTGGCGGTTGTGACACATATTTTGAGTGACAGGGAGCCGCAGTAGAGGGGTGAAAGAGCCACATGCGGCTCCAGAGCCGCAGGTTGCTGACCCCTGGTGTAGACCATTCAACCAAAACCATGCAGTTCACCTGGTGTTGACCAGTTCTTGATCCTTTTCTCAACCACTTCTGCTGTTATTACAAGTCTTTTTTTTTCATTTCAGCTTCTTTTTTGAATTCATATCTACCTCTTTTATCCAAGTTGCATTCTTGTATTTCTTTGGGTTGCCCCATAGCTGCGACCAGACATTTGCTTTCTTCTGTCAGGTTTTGACTGGTTTATTGCAGTCTCTCCATTGACAGATTGATAGAAATGTTTCTAATTCAGCTGAATTTGGAGATTCTGCAAATATGCATTTGCTGATCTTCTTGGCTATAGCTGTTATTTGCTGCTTTTATTATTTCTAGCCCTACCTTGATTTTCTTTGTTTCTCGTGATATTTCCAGCTCAGGTATTTTTTTTGGTCTTCTTGTTCTTCAGCTTTTCTTTTCATCTGTTCTAGCTTGCTTACATCCGATCTTTGCATGCTGACTTTATTTTCCAACCTTATTATAAACTGAGAGACACTTTATTAATCTTAGAGCATTCATTGAATTGGTTAAATTTCCAAAGAACTTCAGAAAGGTTGGGCAATATTTTATTTATTTATTTATTTTCAATTTATATACCGCCCTTCTCCCTGAGGACTCAGGGCGGTGCACAGCCAGAATTAAAAACATGAAATACAAATATTAAAAACAATTAAAATCTATATAAATTTGGCCCAAAATTTAAAAAAACCACAAACCAATATTGCCTGTGTCCTCAATTTATAATGGTAATAAATGCCCTCTCCCCGCTTTTGATATTACTGATATTGTTTAGGCAATTTATTCATCACGGGAATTAAGTAATGATTGTATTAAAAAAAAAATTCCAATCCAAGGAAATTATTTGACAACTTAAATGCGAACAAGACTTCAAAAATAGTATCTAGTCTCAGACTGAAGTCTGAAGATAATGAATGCAATCCATGTTATGAGACAGTGCTTTGTGCCAAGTCAAATGTTCCTTTCTGCTCTTCCATTTCAGAATTTATTTTACATTAAAATAAATATTAAACTGTTTTATAATATTAAAATACACAAGCCAATGGCAGGATGGCCCTCATTTGTAAAACACTGAAAAAATCAAGATTCCCTGTAGTTACAGAAAGCACTCAAATATTTGAAAATCCAGGCCAAACAGACTTAGCATGCATTCACACACACAACACATCTTTTCTACTATAAAACACAAACACAGAAGACACTGAGGATGTCAAAAAAAAAAATCAAATCTTACATGTAGTTTGACAACAAAAGGCTCTTACAAGCAAGATGGGAAATGCGATTGCCTTATAACCTTGGAAACCGGGTAGGAGCACAAAGGGGGCACAGATGAAGTAATGAAAGAGATTATGATGTTTCTAACTATAGCCATTCCCTGAACAGTTGCTGGTGATAATATATACATCCGGACATCGGTAACCTAAATATAAATTATTCCAGTGCAAGCCACAGGTTATGGAACCGAGACTCTTGATGTACTCTCAGTAGCTTCACATTGCAGTCATCCTTTGAAGACATCTGTTTAGGAATAACTGTTTTACAGCAACCCCACAGTAGCATTCTGTTAATAGAAAGGGAGGGGAAACCGGCCTTAAATCAGTCTGGTGGAAGTGTCTGTCCCCGATAATTGAAATAGTCATCTGTCCTGAAGCTGTTATTGTAATTGCAAGGTTTTTTTTCCTTTATTGCTCTCAGCAATGCTATACAATTTCTTCTGTGGCTAGTGCCTGGAGTTTAAATTCTCAGCTGGAATGATCATAGAAACAGAAAACTCATGGTAGAAAAACACCTAGCGGTCCATTGAGTCTGCCCTTTGACTTTGTCTTTTGTTTTCTTTTTAAAAAATTATATTTAATTATTATTATTATATTTTATTGTTATTTTTAATTTTTGTCAAATGTTGGACGTGTTTATCCCAAGCATGTTTAAACTTGATGATTGACTCACTATCTCAGTTGGTTTCAAGTGTCCACTATAGCTAATCCTTGATTTATGACAATTGAGCCCAACATTTCTGTTGTTAAGTGAGACATGTGTTAATTGAATTTTGCCCCATTTTATGACCTTTCTCACCACCGTTGTTAAGTGAATCACTGCAGTTGTTGCGTTAGTAACAGGGTTGTTAAGTAAATTAGGCTTGCCCATTGACTTTGCTTGTCAGGAGGGTCGCAAAAGGTGATCACATGACTTTGGCTCCTGTAGTAATTTATTAACACCTATGGGGGGGGGGAAGGGATGCGGTGGCTCGGTGGCTCAGTGACTAAGTCACTGAGCTTGTCAATCAAAAGGTCGGCACTTCAGTGGTTCGAATCCCTAGTGCCACGTAACGGGGTAAGCTCCCATTACTTGTCCCATCTTCTGCCAACCTAGCAGTTCGAAAGCATGTAAAAAATGCAAGTAGAAAAATAGGGACCACTTTGGTGGGAAGGTAACAGCGTTCTGTGCGCCTTTGGTGTTTAGTCATGCCGCCACATGGCCACGGAGACGTCTTCGGACAGCGCTGGCTCTTCAGCTTTGAAACGGAGATGAGCACCACCCCCTAAATTTGGGAATGAGTAGCACATATGTGCGAGGGGAACCTTTACTTTAACCTTTATGAAAAAACTATTTGTAACAGAATAACAAAATTGGAAGGGATCTTGGAGGTCTTCTAGTCCAACCCCCTGCTCAAGCAAGAGATCCTATACTATTTCAGACAAATAAATGTCCAATCTCTTCTTAAAAACCTCCACTGTTGGAGCACCCACAACTTCTGGAGGCAAGTCATTCTGCTAATTAATTGTTTAATTTTCAGGAAATTTCTCCTGAGTTCTAGTTGGTTCTCTCCTTATTAGTTTCCATCCATTCTTTTTGCCCTGCCTTCAGATGCTTTGGTGAATAGGTTGACCCTCTGTATAGTGATATTCACATGACAAACAGTATTGTTGTAGCCCAATGCATCAGATCCTGAAAGTGGGGGGGGGGACTTCTAAGGGCACTTCCACATCAATTTCAATTTCATCTGCAATCCAGTTTAACTCTGTCAGCCTCAAAAATCAAGTTAGGTAATAAAATTATAGGTGTTGGGGGAAAAATCACTTTATTGCAGCTTGCCCTGTCAAGCCCAGTGTGGACTCTAAAAAAGAGAACTTTTTATCTCCTTCATCAAAAGATGTTTTTAAGTGGCTTCACATACATATTACTGTACAAAGTAAAATAAAGATCATGCAGAATGGTGTATAGTAAAATAATATTGTGAATGTATTCCTAATGTTTTAATGCACTGATGGTCTTTTTATGCTTGAAAGAAGCAATATATATATATATATATATATATATGTAGGTCTTTGGTTATTCGGGTCTTCTCCCACGTAAAATTGGAAGTGTCTTGGCGACGTTTCGACGAAGTCTCATTCGTCATCTTCAGGCTGGTGTTCTCGGCTTCGTGCTTCCAAATTAAATATATATATTTAATTTGATTTATATGCCGCCCTTCTCCGGAGACTCGGGGCAGCTTACAATGTGCTCAGCAATAGCCTTCATCCTTTTGTATATTTATATAAAGTCAGCTTATTGCCCCCACAACTGGGTCGCTGAGTCAACCTTGAGCCTTGGCGAGATTCGAACCTGCAGTAATTGCAGGCAGCTGGTCTTAATAACGAGCTTAATAACAGGGTGCCTTAGACCACTGTACTACCAAGGCTCTTTTATTTTATTTTATATTATTTTATTTTAGGTCTAATATTCATTAGACTCCTTAAAAACAAGTGTGAGGAAATTCAATGTATTGAAATAATTATTATCCCTTCTCTATTTCAGACAGGTAGCTCTGTACGCTCCAATATGTGTATCTTAAATAGTTGAAATCAACACTATATACTAATTATGGATAATAGCACCTCCTTCTACATAGGATACCAAAAAGCAAACCTAGAAAAATATTTTTTATCGAATTTAGAAATTGCCCATCTCCCTTACAAAGGGATTCATATCAGCTGAAATGTAACCAGAAACAAAAAATATTGATGGATGCATCATTAAAAAAAAGAAATGGCAGGTGTTTACTTTGTCAGAAACGGAAAAATCATTCCAGCTTGAAAAATCCTATTAATATTTATTGGGTTATCAAGAGAGAGAATCCACATCCAGTCCAGAATCATAATTCACATAGCATCGAAATTCATTAGCTAAATTTCGAGCATGTTTTGGAATAAACTTGCACATTTTCACACCAAGATATTTAGCAGCATATTCTTCCATGATTAAACCTGAAAACAAAACAAAACTTTAGAATAGTCCTTCTAGATCAGAACAGGTTTTATGTATTTCCAATTATGGTCCAATCAGCTGCTCCCAGAAAGCTCCTAAATTGGGTGTAAAAATGAAAATTCTTTCCTGCTATCCACAGATAAGCTGCTACAGTAGTCCTCAACTTATGACCGTTAACAGAGCCTGCAATTATAGTTGTTAGTCAAGGTTGTTAAGCCAGTCACCCATGACTGTGCCCGATTGTATAACTTCTTTTGTGCTGGTCATTAAGTAAACAGGCAGTAAAGCAAAGATGGTGGTCATACAGCGAACTCATTGCTACAGCACGATTTTTGCTGGAAACCAGAAATAAATGTGTTTATTTATAAATCCTTGTCATGTGATTGCACAACTCTGCAAATGGCAGTAAATGCAGGCCGGTTGCCAAGTGCCCAAAATGTAACTTCAAATCCAGGTTGTAATTAGCTTTTTCAGCTCTTTCATAACTTTGAACGGTTGTTAAGCAACCAGTCATAAGTGGAGAACTACCTACATGTTCAGACAGCACCATTGTTATGATAAAGCTATCAAAAGTACAAATTCTTCTCAAACTACTTCCCCAGGATATCCATTTTTTCACTTTACAAAACTTACACTGTGGGGAAGAGCTGATTGGTTCCCAAATGGGAACATTGTGAAAAAAATACAATCCAAAACAGAATGGCTGTTCAACAGATACCAGCCATGAAATACACTAAAGGAATATTTGTTCTACCATATGTTCTGAATCAAGTAACACTTCGTACAGCATTCTTTTAAGCAGTAAATCTAATATACTATGTTCATAGATTAGTCCTGGCAAAAATATAGTCTTCAACTTACGACCACAATTGAGCCAAATATTTCTGCTAAGTGAAACATTTGTTAAGTGAGTTTTGCTCGATTTTACGACTTTTCTTACCATATTTGTTAAGTGAATCACTGTAGTTGTTCAGTTAGCATCATGGTTGTTAAATATCTGTCATCCCAATTGACTTTTCTTGTCAGAAGGTAACAAAAGGTGATCACATGACCCCGAGACATTGCAACTGCCATAAGTATGGGTAAGTTGTTAAGCATCTGAATTTTCATCACATGACCATGGGGATGCTGTAATGGTTGTAAGTGTGAAAAATGATCATAAGTCCCTCTTTTCAGTGTCATCGTAACTTTGAATGGTCACTAAATGAACTGTTGTTAAGTCGAGGACTACCTGAATACATATCTTAGGTGAAACAGAGCATGCTTTTGAAATTTATTCCAAATGCCATCAACTTCTGAATGAGTTATTGCTGGTCCTCTAAAGCTTTAAATACCTGTTTTCAGTTATAGTTTTATACTCAAAGCCACTGCCCTTTGATATGTCTGACAATGCTGTTATTTCTCTGTACTTTCTCCCCTTTTTACTTTCCCCAACCTCCAATGCTGTCTGCTGGTCCCCTTTGGCACAACAATGATAGGAGAAATATTTAATTACAGGTAGTCCTTGTGGGTCATTCAGAGAAGCAGTTATTAAGTGAAATCGCAACTGTGGCTAGGATCTTACTTTCACTTTTCCTTTGTTTTACAGACTTGCAAAGGCTGTAAATCTGAGGATTAGTCATAAAAGTTACTTTTTCATCACAGTCATAACTGTAAATGGTCACTAAATGAGGCAGTCACAAAGTGAGGACTACCTGAAGTTTTATCAGAACATTCTTCTATAGCCGGGGTGTCAAACTCGATTTCATTGAGAACCACGTCATGGTTGTGTTTGACCTTGGGGGGCCAGGGTGGGTGTGGCCAGGGTGGATGTAGCCAGCTCAATGTCACTTGTGTCGGGGACGCCTGTGGTGGCCTGAGCACTTTGCCAGTTAAAAAAGCAGAGGGTTGCAGGAGGCTGTCGCAACTGAAAACGGAGCTCCCAAGCTGCATTTTTGCTGGCAGAGATACCATGTGCCAGTCCTTCGCTGTTTACAGGGTGGTCCCGCAGGCCAGATCTAAGCGCCCCACGGGCCAAATCTGGCGCGTGGGCCTTGAGTGTGACACCCCTGTTCTTTAGAAACTTATTTTCAGCATATGCAGCTATAAAGTAATGATTTTACAAATGGCTACCGTTTTCTTTCAATAAACTACCGAAGCAAATGAATTTGAGAAAACAAGTGATGTACCTGTGCAGAGCAGAATCTTTCCTTTAGTTAAGTATTTGATGGTTTCTGCTATTTTTTGGAGACATTCTTCAGATAGGTAGGGTGGATCTGCTAAGACAATATCAAAACTATGTGCTTCAAGGTGGGTTGGAAGTTTCAAAGGACTGTTGTAATCGTAGAAAACATACTCGGTTCCATACACAGAAAATCTCTGGTCATACTCCAAAATGCAGGTTGAAAAACCTTGGCAGTCCTGCTCTTTCAGTTTCTGATAAACACTCGGGGCACTGACACAAGCTATCCTGCAAGGATAATGAAGCAAGGAAAGAAGTGGTTATTTAATATATCAAAATGTTTAATTCACACCTTTTCCTGAATTTAACCACTTACATGAGTCCACAAAAATCATTCTTGTTCAATAATATACCTGTAGAATTATTTTCCCCTCACCAGGGACAGGAAAATCTCTGGAATTGACAGGAAGTTCTGCCAATTCAACAGAACTGAATGAATGATTATTTACAAATAAATCATGAATAATTATTCATTGCACAAGTGCAATCTTGTTCTTGGGTGAATATGCACAGTACTGCAACCAAAGTCAACTTTACAAATAACCTATCACTGAAAAAGTAACAAGTACCTTCTGGATTGCTGCATAAATAGTCCCTGTCCATCTATTTTATACACAGGATAGGATGAAACAGGGTGTGGTTTCCTGAAAGTATGCTGCTTCTATTTCTACTATTATAAATACACTTCTCTTATGCACTTGTGGTTAACACATGTCCAAATATTAAATGCTTTTTAAAGAAGCAGCCTCAGAGTTCTGTGTAACAAAAATCTGCTGATTGCGCTAATAAAGGCAGAAATGTCTAGGGTGGGGTGGGGAGGAGAAGATAGTCAGAAATTAAAGATGGAAACCCCGATCACAGGATGGAAGCCTCACCATTGTTTCTACACATGTAAAAATGTGCAGGGCCTTAACTGCATAGCCGTGGCCATTTTCTTTATTTTTTTTGACATTCCCCCTGCCCTGATAATACTGGATAAAACTCTGGATTCAAATTCTTCTATAGATCAAAGAGACGCAGTGGCTCAGTGGCTAAGACACTGAGCTTGTCAATCAAAAGGTCAGCGGTTCGAATCCCTAGTGCCGCGTAATGGGGTGACCTCCCATTACTTGTCCCAGCTTCTGCTAACCTAGCAGTTCGAAAGCACTTAAAAAATGCAAGTAGAAAAATAGGGACCACCTTTGGTGGGAAGGTAACAGTGTTCCGTGCGCCTTTGGTGTTTAGTCATGCCGGCCATATGACCACGGAGACATCTTCGGACAAATCTGGCTCTTCGGCTTTGAAACAGAGATGAGCACCACCCACTAGAGTCGGGAACGACTAGCACCTATGTGTGAGGAGAACCTTTACTTATAGATCAAAGACTCATTAAAAGAACGATCTCAACCCCTCATCCATAAAAGGGGAAGGTAGGATATTGTGACAATCCAGAGCTGTTTGCAGATGCTTGAGAGATCAATGTAAAAAACTATTTAGTGATTCTTATCTCCAGTCTGACAGTCCTGTGTCTTAACCGTGAACCCCCACCCCCATGGTCAAAACTGCATCATACATGTAATCTTGGATTTACAACCACAATTCCAAACCAAACGTTTTGTTGCTAAGCAAGGAGGTTGTAAAGTGAGTTGAACCTGATTTTGTGATCTTTTTTTTTTTGCTACAGTTGTTAAACAAATCACTGCAGCTGTTCAAGGAATTGTGCAGTCATTAAGCAAATAAGAATTTCCGCATTGATTTTGCTTGTCAGAAGCGAGCTGAGGTGGTCACAAATAACGATTGCATGAGCCAGAATGCTGCAATCATCAGAAATATATGCCAGTTGCCAAGCACCCAAATTTTGATCATGTGACTGTAGGGGCGCTGCAATGCTTGTAAGTGGGAAGGCTGGTGGTAAGTCACTTTTTAAAGTGCTATCGTTAACTTCAAATGGTCAATAAACAAATGGTTGCAAGTCAAGGACTACTTGTAGTTTAATGCGCTGAAAAGGAAGGGCTGATGGAGGAATAAGCAGCATTTTTACGAGATACAGTAGAACCTCTTTGTCACGACCATAATTCGTTCCATAACTTTGGTTGCAGCCTGATTTGGTCATGACCTGAACCTAATTTTAGAAATTTGGCGCTTACAAAAAAAATGGCGTGGAAAGGGAAATCGGCCGTGGGAAAAAAAAAAACGTGATTTTTTTGGTCGGAACCCGATTTGGTCGTGGTCAGAAGCGTTCGTGACCAGAGGTTCTACTGTAGTCACAATGCTTGGTTTGTAGAGAGCCAACAGAATTTACCTGCCACCTTTCCCAGCTGCTCTTATGGCCTCATTAGCTAAACAAAATGCCGTCTCAGGATCATACCAAAACTGGCTCAGTTGCTGTAAGGGTTAAAAAAAAGTACAAATATTAACAGCACAACTTTTTCAGTAACATTTATCCCTAGAAGATTATTTGCTACAACCCAGAGGTCTGGTTTGGCTGAAATACCAACTTAAAAGAATTAATATCCATCCATGGATGAAGGGATCAAAAAGATGACGGAATTGGTGGAGATGACGAAGTTAATTATACAAATTAGGGGAAAGAATGTAGTTTGTTTCCACTTGGAAACCGTTTCTGGTTTTTGTGCTCTAAAGAAACAAAAATTAAACTTTGATTTTGGGCCTTCATCATTTTTAACAGATTATACAGAGTTGGAAGGGACCTTATAGGTCATCTAGTCCAACCCCCCGCTCAAGCAGGAGTCCAATCTTTTCTTGAAAGTCTCAAGTGATGAAGCTCCTAAAACTTCCGAAGGCAAGCTGTTCCATTGGTTGATTGTTCTCACTGTCTGAATTTTGTATGTTGTTATAGAAATGGCTAGTATTAATTATTTTATATAAGTAAAAAGTTAATCGTATAACCATCATGCATCTTACTGCACCAAAAAAAGCTGGAAGACACTGCTTTTTGTTCGTTTCTTTTTTCTTTCCTACGCCTATTTCCTTTCTCCCTTTCCCTTCCCCTTTTTGCCATTGTCTTTTTAAATTTTATTTTATATTAAGAAAAAACAATGAAAAGAAATATATATATATATGCATATTCTTTCTAGCCAGGTTTTACCTACGTAAACTAAGTTGTTTTGCAGCTCTGGTTGTGTGAAATCTCATTCACAAGCTTCAGGGCTTTTTTTCTGTTGACAAACTGCAACTCTGTGTTGCTCTCTGGGAGACAAGGATCCTTGGTACTGAAATACTGGCAGATTTGAATTAGATGGTATCAAGACAAAAATAACAAAAATCTAGAAAATTAGTTTAGTTTCAAAGAAAAACTAAGAGTGAGTAGGCATACCACTGAATTAAGTTACCATTCACAAATTGTTCTATGAATTCAATAATGAATAGGTCTGTTTGGGAATTATACATATATTTTCCTGAGAATTACAGGTAGTCCTCAACTTACAACAGTTCATTTAGTGACCGTTCAAAGTTACCACAGTGCTGAAAAAAGTGATTTTTTTTGCAGCATCCCCACGGTCACATGATCTAAATTCAAACGCTTGGCAACTGACTCATTTACGACAGTTGCAGTATCCCGAGGTCATGTCTTTTGCGACCTTTTGATAAGCAAAGTCTATGGGGAGCCAGATTCACTTAACAAACCATGTTACTAACTTAATAACTGCAGTGATTTACTTAATAACTGTTTTAAGAAAGGTCGTAAAATGGAGCAAAAGTTACTTAACAACTGTACAACAGAAATTTGGGGCTCGGTTGTGGTCTTAAGTCGAGGACTATCTGTATCTGCTCTCAGTTCACAGCAGCCATGAATGCAACGGCTGGAGAATGGGAAATAAAGCTGGACTAACATGATACACCAAGATATAAGTAATGGCTGCCAAGGTGCAAATGCTATTAATTTTTTTTGCATAGATCATTAATCAGTGCTCTAAGCTCACTGGAAACTTAGTCACTGCTATTTCCATTCATGGAAACTGGAAGTGAAAACTCGTGAGCCTTTCTACACAGGAGTCACCATTAGTGTATTTTAGCAAAAATGCTTACCCAGTTCTCTTCAATAGAGCCAACCGAATAACTTTGAGTTTTATCAGTAGTCTTAGCTTCTCTCTGCTGTTGCTCGACATAGAACTCCTGCAGAGCAGCTAAAGCTTCAGATGAAAGCTGAGGAACATCATCATCATCATTACTCATTTCTAGATATAAAGCATGAGATTAAAGGCCTTTTATCAGCTGAAAGGAATTGGCAAAAGGTAAACAACTTAGCTATAAAATTCAAATATTTTGCCATGAGAGGAAAAGATTTTTATGAATAAAAAACATATATATATATATATGTAGGTCTCTGGTTATTGGGGTCTTCTCCCACGTAAAATTGGAAGTGTCTTGGCGACGTTTCGACGAAGTCTCATTCGTCATCTTCAGGCTGGTGTTCTCGGCTTCGTGCTTCCAGGAGCAAGAGCTTCTTGCTCCTGGAAGCACGAAGCCGAGAACACCAGCCTGAAGATGACGAATGAGACTTCGTTGAAATGTCGCCAAGACACTTCCAATTTTACGTGGGAGAAGACCCGAATAACCAGAGACCTACATGCAAACACCCGCGAAAACCTGAGAAAACATATATATATATATGTATAATATATGTATATGTATATGTATGTGTATGTGTTGTATGTGTATATGTACTTGTTTGCCAATACAGGTAATCCTCATTTAGTGATCACCAATTGGGACCTTGGCATTAGGGAGTTAGTTGCTAAGTGAAACCATAACTGTGCTTGCTTCTTACTTACTTCAGCTTTCCTTTGCTTTATAGACTTGTAAAGGCCATATATTTTGGGTCCATTTTACAGGTAGTCCTCAATTTACAACAGTTCCTTTAGTGATCATTCAAAGTTACAATGGCACTGAAAAAAAGTGACCTTTGACTCTTTTTCACACTTATGACCATTGCAGCCTTCCCATGGTCATGTGATTTACACTCTGATGCTTGACAACTGGTTCATATTTATGACGGTCGGAGTGTCCCGGGATCCTGTGATCCTCTTTTGTGACTTTCTGACAAGCAAAGTCAATGGGGAAGCTATATTCACTTAACCATGTTACTAACTTAACAACTGCAGTGATTCGCTGAACAAATGTGGCAAGAAAAGTCGTAAAATGGGGCAAAACTCACTTAACAGTTTTCTCTCACTTAGCAACATACATTTTGGGCTCAATTGTGGCCGTTAGTCAAGGACTACCTGTATTGGGAAAAGGTGATCCGCCAGCAAACACAGCTCAAGACTTCTGAATACAATTATGAAATATAATTTTTCTTATAAAACAGCAATCTTCATGTGCGTTCACCATATGCTGTATTTATCACTGTTAACATTTCAAAGATTCATAGAGGTGGTCCTTGTCCTTGTGTGAAAAGCCGTAGTGTTGCTTTTGATTTTTGATAAACCTAAGTCCCTGATCAGATTGTTTAATTCCGGCCAAGTTATGAGATGATGGTAACAGACGGGGAAGCTAGAGGAACCCTTCTAGCTTTTTTACTCTTCTGAAGGAGGTAAAACAATTACTACCAACCTGCCTTCCATTGAGGCTCTGTATACTGCACGAGTCAAAAAAGGCTGTAAAAATATTTACAGACCCCTCACATCCTGGACATAAATTGTTTCAACTCCTACCCTCAAAACGACGCTATAGAGCACTTCACACCAGAACAACGAGACACAAGAACAGTTTTTTCCCCAAATGCCATCACTCTGCTAAACAAATAATTCCCTCAACACTGTCAAACTAGTTACTAAGTCTGCATTACTATTAATCTTCTCATCATTCCCATCACCCATCTCCTCCCACTTACGACTGCATGACTGTAACTTTGTTGCTTGTATCCTTACGATTTATATTGATTGCTTCCTAGTATGATTTGATTGCTTATTCGTACCCTATGACTATCATTAAGTGTTGTACCTTATGATTCTTGTTGAACATAACTAAGGTGACCAGACATCCCGCTTTTGGCGGGACAGTCCCGATTTTTAGCAATTTGTCCCGCGTCCCGCGGTGTTTCAAAAAAGTCCCGATTTTTCATTCTGCCTCCTGATGCCCGCGCTGCCTCTTAAGCCCCAGCTGATGGCTAGAAGAAAAAAAAACTGTTTAAACTCTTGCCCGGGGCTTCAAAGGGCCGCCCTACAGGCAATCAGTGTAAAGAGTTCCTGAAGCAGTTTTTTTTCCCCTAGCTAAGCTGCAGAAACGAAACCGAAACCAGGATCTTTGGTGCAACGTGACAAAATGAGGCAGAGAGAGATTTATTTTTATTTTTCCTCCCCAAAAAAGGTAGGTGAAAAACTGCAAACAATGGGAAATTTAGGAGGAGAGTTCAAGATTTTAAAACACAAAAGAAAAAAAAGCTGTATTTAACTAGGAAATTGTAATAATTGAGATACTATTATTAATTGTATATTGTGTTGAAAGCAGAAATGGTTAAGTTGTGGTTCGGAGGAATATATGGGAGAAATTATTTGGTTTATTATTATTGGTAAATATAATTAATTGATTTGTAAGAAATTGGATTGCATGGAAATAATTGGAATATTCATGTTCATATTGATTAATATACAAAAAAGATAGTTATAACTAATTGATTTATATTAAAATGTTGAATTTGTATTAAACAACTGTATTACATAATTACATAATTAAACAATGTGAGGATGGATATAAAAATAGATGACAATGGGAAGGGGTATAATATAGAATAGAAGGGAAAAATTGAATTTGATTAAGATTAGAGATGAGGATGAAGGGTAATATTGGTTTTTTTTAAAAAATAGATGAGGAATAAATATGGCAAAAAGGAAATATAGAAATTGTAAATTTAATTGAAGTGACTAAACACTGTTTAAATTTGTGAACCGGCCAAATACTCTGTTCAAAGAAAATACATTGTATGTTTGTATGTGTATTTCTAATTATTGTTATTTATTCATATTTGTTCTTTTTTATTCTTTAAAGTTTAACAATTCATTCTTTATCTTAATATCTTTATATTTGTTTGGGGTTGGCTTTCTTCCCTTTCATCTTTTTTATTGTACAGCAATCTTTCTCCTCAAACCTACCACCTCTCTCTTTTCTTTCCTTCTTACTTTCTCTTCCTCCCCTTCTTCTTCTCCTCCCTACTTCCTCTTCCTTTCTCCTTCTCCTCCTCTCTTCCTCCCCCTCTTACCTTCACTCCTACTCTAATTTCCCTTCCCTTCCTTCATCCCTCTCTATTGCTGTATCCTTTTATGCATATGGACTACTCAGAGGGCTGAAAAAGTTATTTTTGACTGGTCCTCGCACTTTTGACCAGTCCTCAAACTTACGACTGTCTTCACATTTTACTTTTTTTGCCCTATCTTATCACCATGGTGAAGAGAAGCAGTTGTGAAATGAGTGACATGGTTGTTAAGGATGCTGCATGGGCATAAATGTGAGGATGGTCATAAGTGTGAGGACCAGTCAAAAGTGCGAGGACCTGTCAGAAATGACTTTTTTCAGCCCCCTGGTTAGTCCTTTTGTGCATATGGACTACTCAGAGGGCTGAAAAAGTTATTTTTGACTGGTCCTCACACTTTTGACCAGTCCTCGAACTTACGACTGTCCTCACATTTTACATTTTTGCCCTATCTTGTCACCATGGTGAAGAGAAGCAGTTGTGAAATGAGTGACATGGTTGTTAAGAATACTGCACGGGCATAAATGTGAGGATGGTCATAAGTGTGAGGACCAGTCAAAAGTGTGAGGACCTGTCAGAAATGACTTTTCAGCCCTCTGAGTAGTCCCTATACACATAGCCATGGCCACCCGGTCACATGACCAGCTAGCCAACGCCCACCCCAGTCACATGGCCTCCAAGCCACGCCCACACAATAAGTCACGCCCACAATGGTGTCCTTCTTACCAATGTTAAAATCTGTTCACCTTACCCTATACACACATAGCCAGGCCACCCGGTCACATGACCAGCTAGCCACGCCCACCCAGTCACATGACCAGCTAGCCACGCCCACCGTCACATGACCAGCTAGCCACGCCCATAAAATAAGCCTCGCCCACAATGTCCCTCTTTACCAATGTTAACATCTGGTCACCTTAAACATAACTTTTCTTTTATGTACACCAAGAGTGCATGCACCAAGACAAATTCCTTGGCCAATAAAGAATTCTATTTTAAAAAAAAATGAGAGAGAGAGAGAGAGAGAGAGACTGCAAAGGTCCTCTTTTCTGCTCACATTCTTTTGCTGCCCAGGCAAAAAGGCCTAACATCGACATGGGCCCTCAGTGGTTGCCTTTGTAAATCAGGCCAACCCCCCCCCACGCTGCACCGCGATGAAAACGCTCTGCGTTCACGCGGCACACTAATACACGTATAGGTATATATAGGCGACCAGTAGGCGGCAGCAAAGAGAACCCTCGCTGCTGCCATCTCGCGGTCTGCCGCTTACTTGCAGACAGAGGAGCCCCATGCTAAAACTCGGAACTAATCGGCCGGGCTGGGTCTGCATATCCCGCGAGGGCAAAAGGTACATGGCGGGTTACAAACTCTCGTGGAAGGCCCTGGAGACTAAACCCGAACCCTAAACCCTACTCGTGCGCCCGCTCTCGGCTACCCAAAGCTGGTTCTGCCTCCACCACTGACGCTCCCCTCCCCGGCAGCTCGTTCTCCTTGCTTTCCGTCGGCTCCACTCACCAGCAGCCTAGGCCTCTGGGCTCCCGCCCGCCTCTTCTCTCCCGGAGCTCCGCCTTTCCTCCGCCCGGTAACCCAGCCCGCTCCGGCGCCCTCTAGCGCGGAAGGAGAGCCGCTCGCCTGGTTGCTATTTTAACAGGTGCGATTGGGAAGGAAGGAAGAAAAGGAGGAAGGAGGAGAGGGAGGAAGGAAGAGAAAGAATGAAGGAAGGAAGGAGGAGGGGAGGAAGGAAAGGAAAAGAAAAAGGAAGGAGGAGGGGAGGGGGAAGGAAGGGAAGGAAAGGAAAGGAAAGGAAAAAGGGAGGAGGGGAGGGAAGGGAGGAAGAAAGGAAGGGAAGGAAGGAAGGAGGAGGGGAGGGAGGAAGAAAAGGAAAGGAAAGGAAGGAGGGGGGAGGGGGAAGGAAGGAAAGGAAGGGAAGGAAAGAGGAAAGGAAAGGAAAAAGGAGGGAGGAAGGAAGGAAAGGAAGAGAAGGAAGGAAGGAGGAGGGGAGGGAGGAGGAAGGGAAGGAAGGAAAGGAAAGAGGAAAGGAAAAAGGGAGGAGGGGAGGGAGGGAGGAAGGAAGGAAAGGAATAGAAGGAAGGAAGGAGGGGAGAAGGAAGGAAGGAAAGGAAGGAAAGGAAAAAGGAAAGGAAAAAGGGAGGAGTGGAGGGAGGAAAGAAGGAAGTAAAGGAAGAGAAGGAAGGAAGAAAGAAGGAGGAGGGGAGGGGAGGGAGGGAGGAAAGAAAAGATGGTAAAATAACATGCCAAGGAAAAAGAGCATGACTTCCCTGATTCTTGTCAAGCACCACGTTTTTAAGGGCATATTATAGCTAAAAAAGAGTGGGATGGGTCGGGTCGGGTCGCTGGGTTGTTGTAGGATTTACAGAGCCTCCCATTCTTTTTATATTCTATCTAATATCAATGCCCAGAGAGATAATGTTATCGTCTGTCACGGTAAAACATTGGGGGGACTTAGAAGGCTTTTTCAAATGGTAAGATTTATTTACCGCACAACGCAGGGGAGGACTTTTCCACTCAGTTTCCATGTCTAAAACAAGCCTACCAAAATGATGTTTGCATGAGCCACTATTGCTACAAACGCCTAATTGTGTAAATGGCAATTTTGCTCAACAGCATCACAAATGGGATTTATTCATAGTGTTGGCACCAATTACGGGCAAGTGTCTGTGAATTCTATGATAAATTGTTTCCCAGTGGTGCCTTTTTATAGTTTTCGGTTGAAAATAAACAAAATGTAGCACTTTGCGTGGTTTTTTCCCCCCAGAAAACTTATTTGTTGCTACTTCGTCCTTAAATAGAAATGATCCAGCACAGACCTCTTGTGAGGCCAGTGAAATCAGATGAATATGTGTGAATATGGCTCTTACCAAAAACGGTAAGATGTTATTTTACTGAACTGAAGTTCCATCTTAGGGGGGGCGGGATTTGTTCTTACATTTAAGACAAGGCCATTTACAGGCACACTTCTAGAAAAGAGAAGCAATGGCCTTGAAGGACTAGAAGTGCCTACCAAAGCAATGAAATGATCGGATAAAATGAGCCTGAGCTGGGGCCAAGAAAAAGTACCTTGAGAAAAGTCTCAGAACATGAACCTGGGAGGAGGTAGTGTACTGTAGACTTGCAAAATTCTGGAATTAAGCTTTACAGTAAAAATAGTATTGATCTATATGGCAATGGTTTCCTAGTCAGGTCTGTCTTGCAGGACTAGCAATATTATAAAATGCCCTTTGTTTCAAATAGAACAGTCCAGTGAAATGTCAACTATCTCCCACCATTGACTTCTGACATTCGCTTCAGATTGAAGCTGAATGAATGCTTATCTAATCTGAATTTAAAATTTAATTTGACGTTTACTGAAGTTTATACTTCTCTATGTCAGGGGTCTCCAACCTTGGCAACTTTAAGACCTGAATTCTGGGAGTTGAAGTCCACAGGTCTTAAAGTTGCCAAGGTTGGAGACCCCTGCTCTATGTTATACTATGACTATTAAATAATTGAATGGCAGACTGGTCAGCCATATTTTAGCTTAATGTGTTATGCAAAGCCCATTTGTGTAATTAATAATTTGTCCAAATTTTTTTTGGTCAGGGGTGTATGCTCAAGTCAGTATTAACATTTGGATCTGGTGAGTGCCTTGAGTAGTCCTTGCAGTTTTCTTGGCAAGATTTTAGAAGTGGTTTGCTATTGCCTGTTTCCTAAGATGGAAAGACAATGACTGGCCCAAGGTCTCCCAGCTAGCTTCATGCCTAAGATACAACTAGAACTGTCTCCTGTTTCTCATCAGACACTTTAATCACTAGGCCAAACTGGGCCCCCAAACTTGTATTACCATGATGAAATTAACTAAAGATATAGTTAAATGTGATAGATGGGCTCTGCAGAGAATCTCCTGCAATTTTATCTTAGGAAATGAACAAGTATACATTGGATTTTTGATACATGTCAATTAAAAGCCTACAAATAAGATGCAGTGCTGCAGGAATAGAATGAGATTTTCTGTATACTCTAACTCAGTTATAGGTTTATATATAGGTCATAGGTATATATATCTAACCTATATATGTTAGAGCACAGGTGTGAAACTCGCCACATCACGTTGCCGACACCTGATGTTTCGTGACATTTTTTTCATTCATGGAGCTGGGGTGGACGTGACCTGTTTATGACGCATTTGGCCCGTGGGCTGCCAGTTTGACACCCCTGAGTTAGAGTAATCACAATTGGGACTCACAACTTGGACATTAAACAAGGCAGTTGCTAAGTGAAGCAATGACTCTGCTTAAATCTTACTTCAGCTTTCCTTTCCTTTATAGATCTGCAAAGGAAGTTAATGAGAGGACTGTTTGCAAAGTTATTTTTTTTTATCACTGTTGTAACTTCAAACTGACACAATATAAGATACACTAAACAAGGGCTACCAAATTCCTAGATGCCTGTTAGGGCTCTTTCATTTGCAGAATCACTAGAGTGGAAGCAGAGAGGTAGAGATTTCTGTATCTTTTGGTTGCCATCAAATAGTTATTTGCACTGTTGCAATCTAGACCTGGTAGCCCCAATTGTTTATTTAACGGGAGATGTTTTTCTACCATAATCATCAACGAAAAATTCAGAAGAAGAAAAAGTTATTAAGTTGATGTTGCGCACATGGCACCATGATTATAGTGCCAAATGTGCTTGCCTTTGAAATGTTAGATGGCTGCAAGAAATTACGGAGTACAGTGGAAGAATAATCCCAAACTAAATTCTAAGAAAAAGCAAAAAAAAAGAAGGTCTTTATTTTTAAAAACAGAACTTGAGTAAATCTACAGTTGTTTTTTTAAATCTGTTTGGAACATGATTGAAAGCCAGTATTAAAAATGACAAAAATAAATGCTTTCAAAATTATTACTTGGTAAGATTTCAAAATTCTGCATGTACAAACTTGATGTTATAGTAGACTAATCAATGAAATATTATTGCATTGTTTGGAACTACTTTTTTTTGGTATGCTAGTACTGACTGCAGGTCACATCATAAACTTCTTTTGTCTTCTGGATTGCAGTTTTTGAAAGTAGGGACAATGGGATCCTTAAATATGTTTTGGATACCCAGCTTATTTCAGGATGTTTTCAGGAACATTGTGACTGCAGTGTCCTTGCTAATTGGATAGACAGATACAATATTGGGTGATAGATTTAGATGTGTGATACTGGAGAGCAGTGACAGTGATACAATGAGACAACAATATGCAAGAAAACAAAACTCTGCTTCTCCTGCATTAAAATACTGTAGAATCAAACAGTTCTAATAGACTTATTTTCTTTATAATATGGATTTCTGGTGAGATTAGAAATATACCTTTCCTTTAATTTTCTCCTTTTTTTAATTACAAGTTTTAACAGCATTAATGTAAGATCTTAACCACTATGATACATCATTTGTATCTTCAATAAACCATTATGAAAAACACATCTATACAGTAACAATTACTAAATAGATAATTTAAGCTTTCCTCCAGGAACAATTTCACTTGATTTAGTAAAATATATCAATCATGTGGCCCAAATCCCAGTTCTGGAAGAGCAGTATAAGAGACTGCTGCATATGAAAAATTAAGATTTCCATTGAGCATGTATGGAATATCCTGTCTATTACAAAGGAAGAATAAATGTCTTGTTTTCCTACTAAATGTTCTTCCTAGCTGGCTCAATCCAGATGTGTTGAGGCTACATTCGATGCCATGCTATGGACACTATGAAATTTATAGAGGCAGTAAAACATCCTTTCAACCCAACAATAACTTCAGAATCAGAAGATGTAAATTGAGCAACACCAGGTAAAACAGAAGTGAAGCCAATATTTAGTTAACAATACATCTGGTACACCATCAGAGATTCCCAGGAGAAATGATAATACAGTACATGAACCTACATTTCCTCTGATCTTACAACGATAATGTTGGAAAGTTAGGCATTTGAGCAATATTTGCCACCTTGCTCAGTGCAGAAAAGGAAATTAAAGCACCCCGAGACAGGTAATTGTGCAATCTGTAACACTTCAGGTAAGAAGCAACCCAATACCTTTGTCACTTTGCTCCATTTGATAGGATTAAAAAAATAATTGGAATCTGACTTATGGTGATTCAAATTCTTCATTCCAGGTCTTGCATTTTGACTTTCTTTTATGTAACACTTCAGAAAGAGTTTTGCAGTCTTCAGAATTTCAGCAAGAAAAGTGCTTTAGATTCAGCTGACAATGCTGGATCCAAAATACCTTTCCAACTCTGAATCTGAAGACTGTGCAGCTCTTATTTTAGATATTTGAAGACTGTTATATCCCCCACTCTTCTAACATTCTCCAATTACTCATTCCAGTTTGTCTGCATCCTTCTAAGAGTGTGGGGTTCACACAATATTCAAGAGGGTCTGACCAATGCAGAACAAAGTGCAACTATTATTATAGTTCTGTTGATATACTGTAGCTATAATTACGTTTGCCTTTTTAAATAGTCATATCATACTGTCTCACATTCATTTTATAATAAACTGCTGTGCTGTACCAAGATTTTGTTAGATTTTATACAGTAGTCATAATAGTGCAGGATGGATGACAGGAAAAAAGATAGTTGCTTTGCTGTGGTGTAGTGATTTTCAGGAGGGTTACAATTATTTTGTTCTTTGCTTCCTTCATTCTGCGTTGCACTGTAAGCCCTATTTATTGACTATCTTCACATTACATCATTCAGAGATTGGCATTCAGTCTCTTTATCACAAAAAACTCTATTTCTTGACAGTACTTCATCAGGACTTCCTTTCTGTATAACAAACAGACTCTTTTTCATAATTATTTCAAGTATCCATACCTACCAATTTGACAATTTCCTTATTGACAATGTTCACATTTGACTCTATTCAATTGGTTGTCCCTCCGCCCAGTCTGTTTTTCTGATTTACCAATATCTTTTCACATTTTGTTTATGTCTTAAGGTATTAAGTATTCTCCTAAAATTTGGTTAGTGACAGATTTGAGAAGCATCTCTTATTTCTTCACCCAAATTAATAAAAATGTTGATGTGTACAGGACCCAGGGCTAAATTGTGTGGCATCTACATAGCATTTTACTCTAATTTGATGATTGTGATTTTTATATCAACTATATGTGACCTGTACTTCCTAATTTGCTAATCAGAATGTCATGTCAAATGCTTTTTGGAAGTCCTGGTTTACATATAGCATTCCCACAATCTACTAACTAAGCTATTTCATAAAGTAATGGTCAAGATTTAATTGATGATGTGCCATCAAGTCATGGACAACTCTTAGAGACCACACAGATAGATTTTCTCCTTGACAATCTGTCTTAATGTGGTCCTTCAACGGTGCATTTATTGCTACTGTAATTGAAATGGGTCAAGACTTGATGCTGATATATGTTAATTACCACATTTAATGAACTACTCCCCAAAATCTTTCCACATATTAATGTTAGATTAACCTGTCCATAATTTGTCAAATTCTCCTTTTCTATTTTTCAAGAAAACGACAATTATCCTTCTCCAATAATCTCAAAGGTAATGTATAATTATTTAGCCAAACCATCAGCAAATTATTTTCAGTATATCCTATTCATCTGTCCTTAAAGATTTAAATAATTTAAATAAGTGTCTCGACTATATTTCAAGCAGTCTCAAATTAACTATCTGCCCCTTCATCCTACTGTCTGCTGAAGAAAATAACTTAAAATAGCTTTGACTCTTTGTTACCTATTAGGTAAATATATAACTTAACTTCATGAACTTTGGAGAACAAAAACATTTAAAAGTAAATAGACCTGTTCATCTTCACATTAAATTAACCCCCCCCCCCTTTTAAAGTTCTAGCTTCTAAACATAATTTGGCTATTTAAAATATGCAGATTAAAATATTCCACTTCTAAAAATAAGGTATCTACAGCAACTTTCTTTCCTGAGTCAGTAAAATTTTGTTTTTCATTGAGTACATATGTTTATCAAAATATTTGCAAGACAATTCATTTTCAACAGCCATAAAGTCACAAAAGTGCGTTAACAGCTTTAAAGCAGTCCGAAAATATTTTGGCCAACAGTCTTTCATTAAGGACGGATAGAAGAATGTAAGAATTCACTGCCAGTAGTGCTGATGTTGTGAGAAGAGATTTTCCTAAGAGATTTCTTAGAAATACAGCAATAGTTCAAAAATAACAAAACATTGTTTAAAAGTAATGGAGCATAACAAGCAGAATGTACAATAGAAACAACAATATTTAAAACAGCATTGCAAATATATCTAGTAGGGGCCAGTGAAAATTCTTCCCCCTAACCATTTTGCAGTGGGATAGACTAAATTAAGATCCCTTAGTTCAAAGAATCAGAGACATAATCAGACAGTTCTCTTTGCAGTTTTCTTTCTTGTAGTAATTACCCATCTTTCAACAGATACAAACTATGTGAGTCATATAATTCCTCAGTCTTTTTTGGTTAAAAGGCAATCTAATGCACTTTAGAATTGAAGACAAACCTTAAAAGAGATCATATAAAAAGAAGGATTAGATGCAATAGAAAACAGTTGGAATTTTAACTAAACACATTTATGCAATGAAACATTTAATGAGAACCTGCCCCTTTTTAATAAAAAAATTAAAGTACTGAAATTCACATATTGAAGCACCAAGATTATCATTTACATTTACAGAGAAGTTTTCAAATGCAATTCAAAACATTTATTCTACTTTCTAAACACCCACTGTCAGTTACAACTGGTTAAGATTGCAGACCGCTTTGAAAAACAAAATTATTTCTTGCTGTTTAACTACCTTCATGATTTTCTTTCTTTTCTTTTTTTTTTTTTTGACCAGACTGCTTTATTTGGATAGCAGGTGTATTAAAAAATGAAAGCATATTAAAAATCCAAATCCAATCATGCAAGACAGCACAAATCTGTCTCTTTACATAAAAACCACGACTTTCAAGTTTATTCCAGATCTTATTAATTTAAAGCAAAATTTCATTTCAGACTATCTGTGGCTTTAAATATTTTCCATTGCACAAAAGGACTGGAATAAAGAGAGACTGACCTAAATCAATAGTAATTCTTGAGCTTAATAAACAAATTATTAAAATTAAAAACGATGCATTTAACAGAAGTGTAGTTGGCAAACTCAACATTCCAGTTAAATTCTGAACTCATGTTAGTAAGATTCAGCCAGATATAAAGTTTAGGTACCAAAATCTGAAGGATAGAAAATAAAGTATGTTTCAACTCCAGTAATTGGAATAATTCAATAATTTAAGGCTGTAATAAATAAAATTGACTGGTTGAATTTAATAACTGTTTTACTTCTTCCAAAAGTAGTAGTGAGAAGATCAAAATAGCATCAGTGATATTAATTATATTTTGCATGTTTGGTTATGGCTGTCTCCTCATTCTAAAAGTTTGGTTTACTAAGAGCAGCGGTCAAATTCATCTTGTATCCTAGTGATATTCTAAAGCAAGAAGACTGAATCAGTGCAAAACTGAATTCATTATTTTTATTTATCTTTGATAGAAACAACTGAAAAACCATTTTTACGCTTCAGAGCAAGTCAGCTTATAGTAAAAAAAAAAAGCAGTAATTGCACATGGACAAAACACAAAAAAATATTTAACAAGAAATATGTCATTCCCCAATATTCTGGCTTAAAAGGGTTTTTAAAAATTATTATATTATTTATATTACATTGAATATGGCTTCATTTTATGGAATATTCCAGCAATTCCAACTACAGTAATGAATAGTGGAATTATGGAACTCATGTAATCTCAAAACTGCCATTCTATTTTGTTTGCTTTAGACCAAGCTTTCCATTTCTATAATAGCCAGTGACAATAATATCCACAGCACAAGGCTACGTGTGCCTATGCAAAAGGTTCACAAAATTCAATAGATTGCTTCCAATTGTGACTATCCGATTGCAATATGACTGCTGCTAAATCTTCAGAACAGTGACATACAAAGCATGTTGCACCACAAAAAGTGATATTGTACTTGCAAAATTTTGCAGACGAGAAAATTTGGAAAAATAGATTTTCATTACTTTGAGATCTGCTTTTAAAATAATCTTCAATGAAGCTGACTCTTAGAATAATGAGATAAACCCATAAATATAAGATGTTCAGCAGCTCTCAGATTAATAAAATGGAAAATGCTGTTATTATAGTTCCAATAATTTATAAGGATGGTATTGTTTTTCAGATGGAGTTCTTTTGCATGGTTTAAGTTCTGTTTGGAAGTGGTTCATTAGAGGAAACCACTCAAATCACAGAATGGGGATCCTACTATAAACAATTTTGGTATTATTGTGCAGATATGTTACTACTGTATATGTTTAACACCAATAATTGCTGGGACCAGGTTGAATTATTTCAATTTCTATTGTGATAAATTAGCTGTCAAATAGGGCAATTAATTTGAATTTTGAGCAATTTATCGTTTTTTTACATTCTGTCTTTATATGTAAGTTGCATATATTTCACTAAATATAATAAATGGCAACCCAATACTTGAATTGCATTTTACCATGCTCAGATTAGAATTCCAGACATTCTCTTTGAAAAGCGTAATAGTACTATCAACACCCAAGATAAAATCAAGGTCAGTTTATCTATGGTGAAAGCACGTGATTCATGATTTATGTTTTGAAAATCTAGCAATAGAGCTGAATATAATTTGGAAGTAAATACAGAACAGCAATGGCTATCATTAGAAAGATATTCCAAGAAAATGATTTGCTCTGTCAAAGCATCATATTTGGTATATCTGAATTATAAAGTTGTAGGTTGCATAATGGGATCTTACAGCAAATGTTTTTTTTACTTTGTTTTCCTTTTCTCTAAGTTTCCCTGAAGGCGGACTCATCGGGGTTATTGAATATTGAACCAAATTCTCAAAGAATGTCAGCTAACTAAAATGCATTTTTTTATTGGCTTCCATTGGCTTTGTCTGTGTTTTCACTAAAAGAAGTAGATCTGGACACAGTCTAGTACGGTAATAAGAGAGTTCTCTAGTGTGATAAATGTGTCTATGCTGCAAAGTAAGCTTTCAGAATTAGTAGAGCTAATTCTGGATTGTTAAAATGTCAACATTTAGGAGTGGAGATACATTGCATTACATCTGGAAACATGTTGGATGGCGTAGGGGTACGATAGTATTATTCATACTTTTAAAAAAATACAAAAACTGGAAAGATAACCTCCTTAGAAATTTCTAACGATTACAAAATTTCAGATAAAAATGTATTGGATAGTGTCCCTTTAATATAATATACATTTTAAATCGGGAAGCAAGTTTAAAATTGCAAATAAATCCTTGACAATTTAGAAACAATCCACCAAGACCTGTTGTGCACCACCACCATTCATTTGTGCAGAAATCTGGAACAGAGTAATTTGAAATGAACCGATAATGCCCAGCAGGCCACTTAGCAGATTCTTCCCCAAACAGTCAAGAAAGTGGAATTCTTGAGCACAATTCATTGTTGCCTTGCAAGTATTTCCACTTTAAGGAAACTGTGCAAACTGGCTCTTCAATGCTTCCAGAGATAAACATTATGTCTCACATTTCCAAAAGTTCACATGGCACCTTTAAGCACTAATTTTATAAGCTAGTATTGTTGTTCACAATAAATGAGAGCTTAGTTACATCCTAGCAATAAATTGCCATCAAAAATAGGCAGTAGAATTTTGTTTCAACATCATGAGTAAAATTTTGAAAACAAATTGGTTTAGAAACTTAAATGTTAACAGTTTTAAAAGACACATGTAGAATTCATCATAATTAAAACATATAATTATGTTGGAGCCACAGGACAAACCCAATTTTTAAAACAAATCAGAAGCCAAAACAATTCCCTTATTCTACAAATAACACTAACAGAAAGAAATGGAACAATATAATTGAGAATTGAACAATTTAGGCTCAGTTCAGATATCATGGCAAGTTATGGATTAGTTCGTTAGGAATATGTGTTTTAAAACTTATTTTTAGGAGACCAACCAGTGGCTAAATAACCATCATTTGCTCAGCTCAGCCACTCATGCATACTAAATTAAATCAAGTGCAAAGAGTTTGTCACAGTATGTTCTGAAAGCCAAGCCATTTAGTTTGTAGAGATCTCTGAACCAAGCCATTCTTTATTGAACCTTTTTGTTTATTTATTCAAGGAAGCAACTTCCTCTAGCCAGTCTTCAGTTTTTGAAAACATTACAGTTCATAGGAAAGATTTACAAACCATAGCCCATCTTTCCCTTGATTTCTGATTGTGGTTTAATGAGAAGGAATTAAAGAAGTCTTGGACCCTTATAAAACTCTATAATATTAAAGATTTCAAATCATATATAAATAATTATGGGTAGTGTGATTAAATGGTGAGATGAACAGCTCAAGACTGGCACGGAATTGCAAACATGATGCTAGGATGAGGTGAGGGCTTACATTTCTATATAAAATGTAAAAATATTTATTTGTTAATATCCAATAGCTCAGTTCTTGCAAATATGAAGCACAAGATTCTGGAGACAAATTATCTCCTTCCTTCATTAAAAAAGGTTATTTTTAATCAGCAGCATACATATTCCGGTTGGTTTAGTTTGGCTTACAATTATGAATAAATGTTCTGCTTCCATATTCTTGATATCCTGCCACTTTGTTCCCATGGCAACCTCCTATTTGGTGAGTGCAGGATGAAACCATACAGGTAATCTTACATAGTTAAAGTGCCAACACACCAAACAAGTGGGATCAGAGCAGCAGAAGACAGCACTATTAAATTTGACAATGGTGGCAAAATATTAAACCATGGGTCCATATTCTGAAGTCAAACATGCACGGCCCTTGCTAGAAGAGTTTGATGCTCGTGTAGTCTAGCCACTGAATCTAATGCCCCAACATTAAAAAAAAATTGTAGAAATCAATAATTTACATAATTTGAAACATTATTGCTTCAGCAAACAATTCAATCTTGAAATACACTGCAGTTGTGTATGACATGGGTGTGACTCAACAAATATTAAAAGTAAAGGTATACATTGATTTTTGTTTACACTCATAGACATAATACTCTCAACACACAAGGGCTGCAAACAGATACATGGCAGCTTAGTGCCAACATTCTAAACCAGTTTTGAAGATTCAAAGCTTGCCTTAGATAACTCACCTAACTTATTTCACCTATTTTTTTTGTTTTAAATTAAGGCAATGAAATGGCTACAGTTCCTAAAGTTCATTTCGGGGGAAACAAAAATATACACCTTTCTTCTTTCTGAACTTTAGGGCAGCAGCATATAATGTAAAAAGTTGTATTACACAAACATGCAACGCCAGGTTGATGTAAAAAAAAAGCAAAAAAAAAAAAAAAAAAACAACCCCAAAAAAACACTAAATCCAAGTTTAAAAATATCATTTGGTGGTTTTTTTCTTCACTGGGTTACACACAGTTTTCGGAGAGGGAAAATAAAGCTTAGAATTGTTTTACAGTTCTGTATGTGTCTAAATCACGCACCAAAAAGGGCTTCTAGCAATAACAAAAAATATTATAGGAGTTGATTCATCACTACTTGAGGACTTCTGGGACAAGGCACTGATTCTTGGTTTTTTGTTTTTTGTTTACTGTGCCCATTGTCTATATGCACTTGTGGAATTCTTTTATTAAACATTTCAGTTTTTCTGTTTTTATTCTGTACAACATAAAAGGTATATGACAGACGGTGGCTAACACATATTAGCAGAAGCTGATTTTAGAGTTGACATCTCCTATTCCACTGCTCAAAACTTCCAGGCTCTCTGAAATTTGAGATGGCTGCAAAAAACCCAGCAACAGGCATTTAAGATTACGTCAGCTTTCAGCATTTTTCAGTGCATTTTGCAAAAAGGGTCTAAGTTAGGCATACAGTTCTGGTATTTATTTTACACAGAGAAGACCACCGACATTTGACATAAAGTCTTCTAAACTTTTGAGGAAGGCCATCTTCTGCTTACGGTCCAGCGTAGGCGGAGTGCTGCTTGCAGTAAGTTTGTTGAAAGCATCTGCTAACCGCTGGTAAATTATGGGATCTTGCTGACTTGATAGTAAAGTTTCAACTAATTCAGAATATTCTGCCTGTAAAGAAAATAATCACATTTATATTTCAGAAGAAAATTTATTAGTAAAAATTAACTCTGTGGAATAATATCAAAGGCTTCCTATAGACTGACTTGTTAACAGAATTACAATTTAAGTATATTTCCAATTTTGGATGCAAGGAACATTTCTTTAAAGTTAAAAGATAGTGGCTTCCCTCAAGCCATCAAGTTAATTCTATCTGACTGTAAGATTCAATTATAGATCTCTACGGCCCCTAAACATTATAGAACATGGAAGAGATAATGACACTATAAAATATCATACCTGATGCAAACATACTAATGTATAAAATGCTTCCCCTGCTGCAGCTGTCATCTCTGTATTGTGCTTTTGCAGTACCAGCATATCAAAAACCATCTAAAATGTAAAAACAAAACTTTATATCCTGACTTTTTAAGAAAAAAATTGTGCTAAGATGAAAGTGACAACTGCTTTGTAGAAGCCTGTGTTTTAAGATGAGGACTAAAAATTAACTTTCAAAAGAAATACGTAATTACTTGCAACAATGTGTAAGTTAAAACAGTGTTATCACCATATAACAAACGAAGGGTAAATGGCTGAAGCAGAGACCCCAATCTATCTGTTTAATCATGTTAAGAATTTTTAACTTCCTTACTAATATAGTCCACTCCCATGGGCACAAAACAATGAATTTTCTGGTGGAAAAACTGGGTACTTTTTAATAGTAGATTACTTGGGCTCCTCAGTAACCAATAATCTAAACATATAAAAAAGCAGGATTAATTTTACAAAAACTGGCATCAAATGTGGTTTTAACCTGATTACTGGCTTGCATCCAAAAAGCTCCTCTGGCAAGAAAAAGTGGTTTCCAGTAAGTAATATGGCATAAGGTTTGTTCTCAAAGCTTGTTGAAGGATCACTAAGGCTTCTGCCCCTCAGCCTCTATTTCCTATTTTGCAATATTGTATTTGCCAATACAGCACTGTGCAAATGAACTGAGCTGGAATTCCCAAAATTCTCAGCAGCTGGGTCAAACATGCCGTCCCACCATTGGGGAAAGCTGCCAACACCAACGATATTACACGATGGTGTTGCTCTATGCTGAAATCCAAGCCACAATATTAGACAGTAATATATGGAATGGTGTCTCTTACCTTAAGAAAGTGTCTTGTTGCTAAAAAGAGGGATGACTCTGATTCCTGTGTTTTTGCACATTGTTCTGCTAATGGTGTTAGAGCTTCTAAGCAGAGCTGGCAAACATCTGAACTCATTCTGATTATTCAAAGTCAAGAAATATATTTATTCCTTTGGGGGGTATTTGGAAATTATACAGTATGTCAGGAAAACCAGTAAACAGAACTTAAAAATTGCCATTTTCCTATATATTTCAAGCTAAGATTACCACTAAATGGTTGAAATTGGTTCCTCCTCCACTATTTCTTCCTAGAAATTGCTCTTATTGCATTTCTATGTTTTAATCAAATGTAACTAAGGAAAGTAAAGAGGGAGAATTTAGGGCTGAAACAAATAATCAAATGTAGAGGGCCACAACAACTTGTAGCAAATGAGCACAGAATATCTAAACATTTTTACATTAAAATGTTAGTGAATCTAGAAACTGTATAAGAACAACAGATTCCATCCCTACAAAATTATAAAAGTAGTTTTATTTTTCGTATCGGGGAATTCTCATAATATTTTAAATGCTAGAATACTCTAGCAACAGGCTTAAACAATCTGGTGCACATATATCCTGGTTCCTTACTGGTAACAGGATGGGAAAGTTACAATAAATGAAGAACTGCTTCTCATTATACGTATACGCATAATGAAGTATACGAAGTATATGTTACTTCAAACAAAGAACATGCAAAACCTGATGAAAGATTGTATTAGATTCTCTGCCAAAATAAAATAAGAAATATTTGGATTCTCTCACATAAAATAACTTTGGTAACCAAAAAACCACACAATGCAAATGTTCAGGTAAGTAATCAATAACTGAAATTCTTGACATTCTTAAGGCTTAAAAGGGTATACCGTATTTTTTGGAGTATAAGACACAGCTTAGTTTTTGGGGAGGAAAATAGGAAAAAAAAAATCTGCCTACCAGGTATTCATATGGCTAGCGTCCTTAGTCTGGTCAGCTTCAGCACATTAGTTTGCTGGTTTTTTATCCCCTGCTTGGGGATAAAAAACAGCTTGTAAGGCACAGCTGAGAGGAAGCAGCAATGAGAAAAGCAGGCAAAGTGGGGGAGAGATCGCTTCACTCGGCTACTGCCTAGTTAGGACTGAAAAAAAGCTTCTAAAGAACAGCTGAGAGTCGGAGCAAAGCATGGAGATCCTTCACTGCTAGCGCCTTGTTAAAGCACAGCAGAGAGTCCAGGGAGCAGGCAAAGCTGGGAAGATTGCTGGCTAGTGCCTCATTATTGCCTTGTTAGGGTTGAAAAGAAAGCTTCGAAAAAGCTACATTCGGAGTATAAGATGCACCCAAATTTTCAGCCTCTTTTGGGGGGGGGGGGAAAGGTGCACCTTATACTCCAAAAAATACGATATATCAAGTATACAGTAATGTAATGATTTAAAGAAAGAAAAGTAAAGGGATCAACTGAATAAGTCCTTTCCCTGCTCCTCCAAAATAAGATCTTAAAGGATACGATGTCATCCCCAATTCTAATGAATACATAAGGCTTTTAAACAAGTCTTCTGGAAGCTGTGGAATTTTCTCAGGAAATATTTCACAAATAAAAGTAATTAGTTTGTAGTACTGATTACATAGTGATGGAAACTATAGAAGGAAAAAGTAAATAGGTTCATGTTAATGAGGCTTCTTAATAATTACATTTGAAGAATGCAAAGTAATGTCAGGCATTCAAAATCAAGGGTTATTAGTTTTATATGTTTCACAATTTGTAATACATATATAGTCCTGGGTTTTTGAGGTCAATACAGAATTAAAGCTGACATATTTTTGTAATTCATTGCCCATTGTTGAAACCATAGATCACTTATTGTGATAAACTCTGGTGAAGCTGATTTACAATTAAAGACTTCTGAAAATTGTAACCAAAGGGAGGTACCATGCATGTTATTTCCTCAGTCTCAACCTAGTATATTAACTACTTCATTACACTAATTCTCCAATACCAAACTATTCCACAGATGGCACTATTAACACATTTAGACAGTACTAGGTTTAAAAGGCTGTTTAAAGGCAGGCATGAGCTTGGCTGAAGCTCTGAGTTAGTGCCAGTGGCCATTTTCAGTCAGCCATGAGAATACTGGTAATAGTAGAAAATCCATGGTCATATTTAGAGACACAATATTATAATGATTAAAATTTTTGGAAGAACTGTCAAAATTCCCCATCTCTTTCTGGAACCCTGCATGCCACTGTACATACCTTTAACAAATCTTGGGACATTAAAGGCAGGATTAGATTCACTCCATATAAGACAACATCTGCTGCCGATACGGATCTGTTTGTTGCTTGCCCAGGTTCATGTCCCCTAAATACTTCATCTAAAAAGATGGGGAAGAGGGGAGAAATATAGGAATATAAGAACAAATTCAACTATCTGCAAATATTTTCTGAACACCAAGCTTAGTGAGCATGAAATCTTTCATAAATTATTAATTCAAGTAATTGGAATGCAGTGCTTGAATCTCAGTAAGGTGATGCCAAACGTAACTTTGCCTTCTGCAGTTGATCTTAAAAACCTGTTTCCTTTAGAAAAACTAAACAGTACAGGGAGGCGTATTTAAATTATACCTGCTTTTTTCTTATTCTTCTTTGGATTCTGAGGTGGATAAAAAGACTCAGACATTCAACAAGAAAAATAGAAAATCAATTTTAAGGTGAAAGAAAGCCTGAAATTCTAACAAAAACTATAAAAGATATTTTGTAATCTACTATAGTCAAAATTAATGTACCTCTAGACATACAATTATAAGATATATACATTTCAAACTTCAATTTTTTAAAGTTTTTTATTTTATTTTATTAAATGTTGAAGATCAAAGTACAATCTAGACAAAAGAAAGAATGATGGAAAATAAATTGCTGAATAAGATAAAGTTAAAATATGTGTGAATAGATGTAAATAGTAAGAAAGGATCACTTTGAAGTAGCTGTAGGGAAAAGTGTTATTTTTATAAATGTTGTGTGTTTGTGTCTTGTTTTCAAACTTCAAATTTAGATTTGTCATAAGGCAGACCACTTTAATATATTTTAAAGCAATGATTCACTAATGATCTGCTTAACTTCTAATTAAACGTATCTTCTTATTATAGTTCAAAATGTACAAGATAAAAACCCAAACAGTAATCTTATTAGCAGCCACAAAGATTTGGCTGATAAATGAATATAAAATTCAATGAAAAACTGTGCTTACAATGAATAATTATCTGCTTAGGGAATGGTTTCATATATTATAAACAGACAAATACAGGTTTACCAATTTACAGGTAGTCTTCAATCATCAACTGTGATGGAGCCCTTCCTTCCTTCCTTTTATTTAAATGTATATGCTGCCCATCTCCCTGATAGGTTGGAAGTCAAATTGGCCAGTAAGTGAAATGGCCACATGATCATCTCATGACCCCCCTCCCATTCCTGCTCTTCCTGATGAGGTTGTCAAATGAACAGGTCCTGCCTCAGGCCTCCTCCATTTTGAGGCATCCCATACTTCAATTCCTGCTCCTTGGGGTCGCCACAGGCCTTGGGCCTGCTTCCCAAGCCACTGGACCTCACACCCTTCCACCTTTGGGGAGCTAGGTGGAGGGGGTGCTGTATATCCCCGTGGTCAGTTGTAAGGGTGAATGACTGCAGCTGCCATAACTTTGGAACCAAGTTCTAAGTAGCTTTTGGGGGGATCTGTAAGTCATAAATCAAGGACTACATGTATCTACTATACTCTATAATTAGTATTTATTCATGCCATTATGCAAATGCTTCAAAAAAATTACTTTTTAAAAAGATATTTGACTGCCTACATTTCTCAACAGGTTGCTTAAATTCTCCAATATTAGTTTAAGCATTCCGTAAAAATACAAACAATATAAAAATCAGGAAGGCAATAAAAGATTGGGGAAATAATTGAAAGCCACTGAAGAGCCAAACAGGAAAACATCAAAAACTGTTTGAATAAATGCATCAGTGAACTAAGGTTTTAACTCTGAAATTTAAGAGAGCGAACCAACAGAGCTCTGTTATTTGTTCATTACATACTGGTGTCAAGAGATAAAGAGCTCTTTAAGTTTCATCCATGTTATTTTCAGTTCTAAATTTCTCCCTACCTGTATCACTGAAATCTATAAATTCTTTTGAAAGTAAGTTAGTGAGAAGCTCCATAATGAGAAGAAGATCCTGGTATTGGTCCTCTTCTGCTGTAACATCTATTCGTTGTCTACCTAAATTATTCTTGGAATATACTTGAAGTAGGGTCAGACAAGCTTCATATAAATTCATGGCTTTAGACTGCAAATGAAAAAAAAAATAATGAAAAAAGAAAAGAAGGCTTAATGAAGGATATACATTTGCTAGAATGTACTTATTACTCAGGCCTTGAAACCACTTCAGTTGCAACTGATATTAAGCAGAATATACTCCATTTATAACAAGGGTTTAAAACAATAAAATAACAATTCTTAATCATTATAAATCCTATTGCTCGAAGGAAATAATCTCCAACATAGTAAATCACATTGTCAGGCATACATTTAAGCAGTGTAGAATTTCCATTGTATAGTTATAACATTTTGTTGGAAAATCTCTCTTGGTATTATTAATTTTTCCATGTTTAGGAGCCCTGTGGCTGGAAGAAGTAAGCAAGTATCTACTATATCTTTAACAGTTAACATTGGGGCGTACACCTTCTAAGTTACAGCTACTGAAGCAGTAAGCATTCTATTGATGAGAACCTGTACAGGTAGTTCTTGACTTATGACCACAATTGAGTTCAAAATTTCTGTTAATAAGTGAGGCAGTTGTTAAGTGAGATTTGTCTCAGTTTATGACCTTTCTTGCCACAGTTGTTAAGTGAATTACTCCAGTGGTTAAGTTAGTAACATGGTTGTAAAGTGAATCTGGCTTCCCATTGAGTTTGCTTGTCTAAAGGTCACAAAAGATGATCATATGACCCTGGGACATTGCAACCATAATAAATATAAGCCAGTTGCCAAGCATATAAATTTTGATCACATGACCATAATTACTGCAATGGCTGTAAGTATGAAAAAAGTCATAAGTCACTTTTTCAATGCCATTGTAACTTTGAATGATCACTAAACAAATGGTTATAAGTCGAGAACTACCAGTACAGTAGAACCTTTGGTCACTACCATAATTCGTTCCATAACTTTGGTCGCAAACCGATTTGGTTGTGATCTGAACCTAATTTTGGAAATTTGGCACTTACAAAAAAAAAGTGGTGTGGAAGGGGAAATTGGCCACAAAAAAAAAGTGAATTTTTTTGGTTGAAACCCAATTTGGTCGTGGTCAGAAGCGCTTGCGACCAGAGGTTCTACTGTATTCTTTTATACATGGTCAGATTCTCCATTATCTGACAGCACACAGCCTCATCACACAGATGGTCATAAAATAATGCAATCAAAGCATGAGACGTAAATAATATCTAACCCAAACCCTCTCCAAATGGACAAATCAGCACAATGGTGAAGGAAAATATTCTAACAGAAACAAATGCATCATGTCATGAATCATCAACTCTCGGTTTTAATTCAACCTAACTGATAATACTAAAAATGTTTAGAAATTCCAAGCTCTTCAAAAGATTCTTCCAAAATATGAAAATGCTTCAATTTACAGAGCTCAATGATTTCTGTTATTAGAAATAAAATACAAAAAAAAAGGCTTTAAAGGTGTGAAAAGAAACTGATATTACTGTACAGATATGTACATTTCCAGCATATATCCTATATTTAGAATATATTTTTAAATTTATTTACCTCTCCAAGATAGCATATTTGTTTATGTGCAACTTCAACAAAAACTTCTATAATGAGGTTAACAGTCTCTGGTGTATTCTTGTACACCTCCATTAGTCCAATGCAATTTGTAAGGAAGTCCATCAGAAAATTAAAGAGAATTGCTACATTGTCTATCTGGGTAGCCTCAGCAATACCACAAAGTGCTTCTAAGGTGGCAGTAATTTCCTGTTTCACCTCCTCCTCCTGGCAGATTTGTTGGAAGTTTTCTTGGTTTATCACATTTAAGAATCGTTGTTGCAGTGGCTGAAGAACCTGCAAAACAAAAATAAAAAGAAGTATACTGTAGCTTTCCTGCAGAAAGCTGCAGACAGAAAGAGTTTGACCCAAAGATTTTTCATATAAATACACTTATTTGGATAACAGTATTGTTTATATATAACACAACCTAAACTGGAGGAAGTTTTTTAATTTTTTTTTATTTTAAACACATTAAAACAAACACAAAACAAACAACACATCTATACATATCATTTTTCTGTTGTTAACAGCTCATTTAAGGTGATCCTTTCTTATTATTTACATATATTCTAACTTTATCTTAATCTATTTAAATAATCCAATTTCCTTTACAACGACTTCTCTTTACTTTGATCTTCAGCACATTCAAGCAATATTATCACAAAAATAAACAATAAAGTATTATTTCACTTCCCCCTTTTTTCCTTTTTTTCCTTTTTCCTTTTCTCCCACCACTCATACCATCTGTACCATACTCTATAGTAATCTGTGTCCTCTTTTTCCTTAAGTTCCTTTGTAAGCTTGTCCATCTCTGCGCATTCAAGGATTTTTTTAATTAAATCCTCTTCTGTTGGTGGGCATTCCTTCTTTAAACTGGAGGAAGTTTAAGATTGATCATAAAGGCATTACTTCAGTTCTAAATAAGTTGGCAATGCCCGTTTACTAAAATCCCTCTGTGAGGGAGATAGGCAGTTTCTAAATATGATAAATAAATGAGTAAATATTTAAATAATTTATTTCTTGTTTGAATATTATGTATAAAACATACCCAGCCAAAAACCTTAAAATGCTAAAGGAACACCGATTTTGAAAAAGCAGTACGTATGTAAATTTTAAGCCAAATTTTATGGCTTAAAAAAAAAAAAGCTGAACTGACTCTGGGCGGGTAATAAACAAAACCATAAAACCACAAAAATACAATTAAAAACAGGGTTAAAACGTGAATATAAAAACAAGTTAAAAATCAACTTCAAAGGCAGAGGGAGTGCCTTCAAATTGATTTTAAAGAGCAAGGTGTTTTAACAGGTAGTAAATGTCCATAGCAAAATGTCTATGGAAATCCTCAATCATCCAGGTCATGTTTGTCTCAAAGGTACTTTTTTTCCCAAAGGCAACTGGACTTTCTTATTTTTTTAAAAAAAATTCCTTCAGTCAGAAATGAAAAAGCTCCTTGGATAAGAAAAGTTTTCATGAAAACAAAAAGACAAAAACTAAGGAAGTTCAGTTGCCTTTTGAAAAAACACTTTTGGGGCATCCACAGCAAAATTGGATTGTAAAAGGCTAGTGGGATTGTTTTAAACAATTGTGGAAGAGATGCGTGGAGAAACTGAGTCACAACAGTTGTCTCTGGAGTCTCACTATGGGAGTGGTAAAGGAGTCATATCATTTCTTGCTCTTTTAAAACATCATGAACACATTAGGCCTCCAAAACCTGATAAGCATGGTTTGAATTCTTTTATGTTGACTTGTCCTATCTGGCTTTGTATAATATTTTGTTTGCCAAAAGGGCTCATTATCCATTGTAAAACTTTACAACTAGCTGTTTCTGGCTCAAGAATACAGCCTTTGTTTTTGCAGCCACATTTTTTAAACACACGTCACACTATTTTAAAAAATCATTTTTTGAGATGCTTCCTTGAAAAGGAAATGGGAAGTATTGATTAAGAAATAGCACATGCTTAAATCCTGGAAGGCAATGGAATATGTCTATAGCTAAAATAAAGGGGAAAAAAGGGAGTAACCTTTTTTCCCCCAAAGTATTCCTCTAATTTTTTAGTTTGTGTCTGTTTTCTTTTCTCTATACATGTGTGAGTCTACACATGAATGTGTGTATGCAGAAGAGGGTATATTTGGTAAAATGTGGCCTTTGCTAAACGGCTAAATCAGGAAAATGGAGATGGAGAATAGGGTTGAGGTGGTCATCTGATCCATTCAACTTCCCCCTTGCAACAGCCACATCCTTGTATTAATGGCCCACCGTTCTCCAGAAGAGGCAAGTGTTTTGATAGACGCTCCAGAATCATCGTTCTGAGGTCTTTAGAATGATGTACTGAGGCCACTGATGCTTCCCAATACAGTACAATAGGCACTCTCCCAAAACAGCTTCTAATGCGAGGGTATCAAACCCAAAGCCCATGGGTCAGATCCGGCCCACGGGGTGCTTAGATCTGGCCCATGAGCGTGGCCTGGAAATAGCAGAGGCCGACGGTGCCTCTGCTAGTGAAAACGGGGGACGAGGGGACGGACATCCCATTTTGGCGGCATGGTGCTGCAGGAAGCATCCGTCCCATCTGCCATCCGTCCCGTCTCTCCCACCAGCCGGCCCGCAGAGGACAACTACAATGCTGATCCGGCCCTCGAAGAAATCCAGTTTGACACCTCTGTTCTAAAGCAATGCTTCTCAACTTCAGCATCTTTTAAGATGTGTGGACTTCAACTTCTGGGAGTTGAGGTCAATGCATCTTAAAGTTGCTGAGGTTGTAAAATAATGATTTAAAGCAAGGCTGTCAAACTCGCGGCCCGTGGACTGGATGTGTCAGGCACTAGCCACGCCCCATTTAGCAAAGGGGGAAAAAGTCCCGATATGTCACGTGACGATGCCGTGACCATGCAAGTTTGACACCCCTGATCTAAGGGATGCAGATGGATGACCCAGTGGATAGGAACAGTCTTGAACTGTGGAGACAAAATGATGGGTGGACTGTTTTTATTTAAATACATTTTTCTGCGTATCAGCAAAAAAAAAGTTTCCAAAAATATGCTAAATCAGTAAATATAACTAAGCAACATTGCACAAAATGAAAAAGAGGGAAAAAATAAAAAGAAAAGTCAGACATAAGATATTATGGTTAGATTTCGTTTGTTTAATATTTGTTATTTTAGGTCCAGAACATTTTTCATGGAATTTTATGACACCCTTTGATAGCAAAATGACCGATATTAGATCTTTAATTTTCAACAATAAAAATGAAAGCATTGATGCATGAATGTCAAGAATGACTTAAAGTATTTAAATATATTATTTAATTCAACATTGTTGCATTAAAATTATAAGAATCAGTATTTTTGCAGTTCAAGATAATATATCCCATGATTTCCCAATCCAGAATCAAAAATAAGATTGGTAACAGATTTCTTTCCTTATCCCTGAATAACTAATTTCTGTTAATAAATGAAAATAAATAGAAAATAGATAGAAAAGTATTGTATTTTGAGAGTATGCAGCTATACACCACCAATATATTTTATATTTCATTTATATAATAAATGAAAATAAAAGAAAATAGATAAAGTATTGTATTTTGAGAGTATGCAGCTATACACCACCAATATATTTTATATGCACTCATTTTGTTTGACAAATTCCAATAAATAAATAAAATAATAAAGTCAACAAGGAAAACAAATCAAGACTACTGAATGCCAAACTGTCACTTGCTGATATCACTCATCCTGAATTTTAAAGCAGAGATTGTACTTACTTCTGTCCAGTATTGCTGTTTGGTATCTCCATCCATATGAGCAAAACCCCCAAGAACTAAGGCTTTCATTAATGTACGTTGCACTGAACTGGATAGAAAGTGAAGAGGGGGATTCCGTCTGGCAAATTGTTTTGCTAAGTTCCACCAGTTTTCACACTGAATTACTAAATTTGCCCTAACAGAAAAACATTGAAACACAATAAATAACAATGCAATAGCCTGGAACAGTTAAATAAAACCAGCTTTCTCCCAGATTTTAAACAGATTCTTAACAAACAAATATTTATCTAATGACATTGTGTGTCAAATTCTTCCCCTTTGTTTTGTTCATAAGTAGAAATAGGACAAAATAATTTATGTCTTACCAACAATATTCTTCTTTTGGGAACTCACTTAAACCTGAATTGGCTATAGCACATGTTTTTATATTTATTTATATATAAGCACAAGTTAAAAGGAACTTTAGAAGCAAGTTTTGGAACTGCCATTTCTATTTACTAATATGAAGCAATCAGTTTCTGAAGAATTTAGCAGTAAAACTGAGGCTTGGCAAATTGTCTTTTTAATTTTTGGTGTTGATCAAATCAAAAAGAGTTATCGCAATCATGTTCCATGCCTTGGAAATAACTATGGTATCTTAACAATGGTAGCTTAGCACTAGACTCATCAAACTTCTAGAAAGAATCATTTTATAAATTAAGTATTTACATTCCAGCCCCTAAGTAAGATTGTCCTCAACTTATGACTAGTCTTTAAAAAAGCATTTGAAATTACGACGGGCTTGGAACAAGTGTCCGTTTTGGAAAATGGGTTGCTCTTAAGACTGTGGTGTTTGCTTATGACCACTGCAAAGAATGTTGTAAAATTGGGTACAGTCAGGTGGGATCTCAATTTATAACCGTAATGACTTATGATTGGAAATCCACCCGCAATTGCTATTGTAAATCAAGGACTACCAGCAATGCAGTTCGTTCAAACAGTATCATTTTGCTTGTGAACTTATTGGATAGTAAGAACACTTCTAACCATTTTAATCTCTTCCTATTTTCCTCAATGTATGCCTAAAACTCTTTTGAAGTAGTTCAAACATGTATCTTTACAACATACTTTTGATGGGCAAGCAATCTATATTGTGAATGTAGTCCAGATGCATGCTGGTTATGTGATCTGTCCTCAAAAGATACAAATTAGAGAATTTTAAACTCTATTAAGTTTAACACATCTAATTTGTATTTAACCCATCAAACTGTGAAAAATAAACAAAAATATTTCATCTATCTGCCTTCCAGATAGATGGCACCAGGTAATTGTTTCAGTACTACTAATACTTCTCACAGATACTATTTATATATTCACAGAGTCTACTAACATCTAGTTTGGTCCAGAAATTCTCATGGGACTCTTAGAAAAACATTTATTTTTTTCATCTAGGAGTATAACTTTTAGGCTTACCTCTCCCTCCTTTCTACCAAAGTTACCAGTAGCTGCACAGTGTCATTGGCAAGTTCTTGCTCAGAACTCCACACTGCAAGATTGCTGAGTACTTTTTCTAAAAGGTAGCCCACAATCCATTGGGCACCCTCAGTGTCAGCACCAAATGCGGTGTTGAATGGCAAGCTTATCTAAAAAAAAAAGTTAGTATTTATGAATGCCACAGAATATAGTAATGTATTGATAAGAACATTGTCTGACTCCATAGCTTTCTTTTGTTTATTGTAAATTAAAAATACATATCCGTTTTCTTCAAAAATGCATTAGGAATAACATAATTGAAGGCACATACAGATTTAATAGACAGATTCATTATAGCAGGAGTCCCCAATCCCCAGGCCAGAGACCAGCACTGCTTTGAGCCCGCCAGGAACCGACCACGCAAGTAAATGAAGCTCTATCTGAGCAAGCACGGGATCTAGGCAGTGCATAAAACCATACTCCCCCTCCCCAATCCACAGAAAAATTGCACTCCATGGAACTGGTCCCTGGCACCCCAAGAGTTGGGGGCAGTTGCATTATCGTATTTCCGCATGCATGCGCCCACTGATTTTAGAGGAATATAGGTGGTCCACACATGCAGCAGAAGCAGCTGAGACGGGAAATTATCATATCAGATCATAAAAATGGTGTACTATTTTGAATGCTTTTTCCCATATATAAATTCCCTAAAAAACATTTTAAAGTTTCATTATTATTTATAAGGAACATCTTTATTTATTATTTATAAAGAACTCTTTCATTGTACATTTAGATCAGATCATACTTACTTAAGTGTTGCAATGAATAAGCTCATGTGGTTTGTTGCAAAATTTCAGAATTCGCGCTTTAAGAAATTTTAAATTTTAAATTTCTTAAAGCACAAAAAAAATGTCCACAAGTTTAAAATTATTTTACCTGGTCATATAGCTTTTCATCTACGAGGAGATAGGTTTTTGCCCACCGTTTGAGGAACCACACAATATCTTTTCCCATTTGTGGGCTTAGAAGGTGCGTAAGATCTGCTCTTATTGCTCGAGACTCCACTTCCGAAACTCTTAGAACAGAAGACAATAACCTGAAGAAAATTAAAGATACCGTGATTTTCCCCTAGCACTCACTGATGTTGATTTATGCTTAAACACATGAAACCTTTTCTTTTTTTTAGGGTTTGTCAAGGGAATAAGGGAGTAACATGATCAGCTTCCCCATTTCTACCAGTAGAAAACAGTTTCCTTTTTGAAACACTAAGTTTTCCATGTATTCACTCTTTCAGCCGCCTATTCTGCCTATTCTTTACCTTAAAGGTTAGTATGAAAATTCTCAATCTTTAATTTGGAAATCTCAGGTTACTGTTGCAGGAAGAACTAATTCTCCAAGATTAATGCAACAAACCAGCTTAGAATATTTGAAATTTTTATTGAGACTTTATACCAGTTAACCTTATAACTCTTCAGTCCAAGACTAGTTTAATATTGCTGAAGAGTTTTCCAAGACACAGTATTGATTTTCAGTTATTTAATCCCTGAAGGAGCATATTAACCCAAAGAAAACAGACCCTTCAGAGGATAGTAAGTATCTTGGAGGAAAGAGGGAAAGTGATGCCACAGTTCAATTGTAACACATTCAGATCCCCAAAAAGGAACACCTAATGAATTATCTTGCACCTCCCATTTACATGGTGTGAGGCAGCCCAGTTGGGATAGACTTTTAACTCACACATCTGGGGAGCTTTAACCAAATAGAAGGCAGTGCTGGGCTGGTAGTCTGATACCTTAGAAATTTATTTCTTAGTATCAAGATGTCTCTGCAGCAACCATCATATATCTTCTATTTAGTCAATTCCTGTAAGCATGAAGGAACTGCTGAAAAATTTGCTATCCTAGTGTGAAAAGTGGCTTTATATGTATTCTGGAAATGCAGAGTGTCTGTGGTATATTGGCTCAAAATTATCTTTTAAACAGTCAAAGTATTTATTTCCTTAAAATTTAAGACTTCTATATCCATCTCTCCTCACTTTTAGAAACTTGATCTTGATATCTGCAGAAAATACTTATTGCTGCCAACACTTACAACATTACAGACCATATATGGCCTCAGTGTAGCAGTTTTATTACAGCAAATAATAGAGACCATATGCATATTAATAAAGACATTGTTTTTCTGTTATAAAACAAAAGTTTTTAAAACAGATGGATACTAAAAATTTAATTCAAAATGTTTCCTTATTGAGAGATGTTAGAAACAGGTATTCCTCTTTTAAGAGTAAAACCCTTTAACACATTCTCCTCAAAGTTCTCTGAATTTTTACCCAAAGACAACAAATTACTTGAGAATTTTAATTTTAGTGACTTAGAAAGCATTCTGTGACAATATGCTGGCTTACAAAACTGAATATGTTCTGGGAAACATATTCTGAATAGTCATTTCTGCCTTGCTATAAGGTATTTATTTTGATTTAAAGATGTACCCATGTCACATACCTGTAAGCATGTTCACAACAACTCATTTCATTTTCATTTAATAAGCAATGTATTTCCTTTATCTGACACACAGTCCTCTAAAAATGGTGTTTATGTTATTCTTATACCAACAACCCCTCTCCCGAATTTTACTTATACCACAGTGCATCATAATGTTTGCTTAGAGCAAAAAACCTTAACTATATTACAGTTTTTTCCCCTCAGTCATCAATATTAGGTCACTACATCTTAATTCTACAGAAAGCCTATTTAACTTTCTTTCACCAGTTCTGACATTCACATTGTTATCATAGATTAATAATTTACAATGATAGCCCTATCTACTTCTGATTTATGGTTCAATATTTAGCATTAAAATACTAAATAAATTACCTAATAACAGAATCGGTTCTGTTGTACCCTGGAATGGAAGAGGCCTTTTCTCCTGGAGATCCAAGAATTTGAAGCGTTGTATTGATGTCAACCTCAGTTGAATGCTTAATGGAATACTCCATTATTTCTGGAGGTATTAGCGGAGTCTCTCCCTGAGTATCATTAGCTAAGAGGTAGCCTTAAAATTAAAAGCAAACAAACAAAAAAAGAAAGTAGTGACCTCAAGAGCCTTGGTAGTACAGTGGTTTAATGCACCCTGTAATTAACACAGCTGCCTGCAATTTCTGCAGGTTCAAATCTTACCAGGCTCAAGGTTGACTCAGCCTTCCATCCTTTCTAAGGTAGGTTAAATGAGGACCCAGTTTGTGGGGGCAATAAGCTGACTTTGTATAAATATACAAAAGTATGAAGGCTATTGCTTAACGCATTGTAAGCCGCCCTGAGTCTCCGGAGAAGGGCGGCATATAAATAAAATTAAAAAAAAAAAAAAGTTACCTAGCCTAAATTAAATACTGCTTTAAGTGCCATCAAAAAGATGCTGAGAGAATTGGCATCAATATTTGGCTAAATTCTATGATATGCTTAAATTAAAACTGGCATTTATGGTACATAGTTCAGTTTGGTTTTGTATTCAATTTCTACATGTCAGAATAAAGTCTATAAACAACTACAATTATTAGGGAGAAAGTAGCAAATAAAACTAAATTCACCTTAGATCCCATAACAAATATAATTTTTGAATAATACATCTCCCATCTTGGCCATCATGTCACTACTACTTTTTAAGAGTCTTCTGCATTTCCAGCCTAGGCTAGATAGAACCTTTTCAAAAATTCCTATAATATTGACAGGTCTAACCAATTAACTCCTTCCAGGGGGAATATATAGTAGCTAAAAATGCAGAGGAAGGACTGGGAGAAATTACACAAATTTCAAGATCAAAATAATGTGTTGAGGGCGGACATAAATAATCTTGTTGTTCCTCCTTCCATGGATCTGCCTGAAGCCTGCAGTGTCTGTTCTCCAGAGGCAGTAGACCTCTTCTTAATTTGCAACATAATATATCAATAGCAGGCTGTGCTTTCAATCCCCCAATGCATTTGCATGCAGTATCATCAGCATAGCAGTACTTGAAGGCCATTAGGGCTCTCAAAAAGAAGAATTTTAAGTGCCAAAAGATACATGAATGAAACATCATAGCATGTGAATTAAGACCATCATTTCCATAAAACCTCAATAAAAAGTCTTTGCTTGTATATTTGTGAACCAGTATGTCAGTAAAACAGGACTATTGTTTTAAGATCAGTTTGGAACACATACACATATCTGAGATACAATCATATGGAAACATAGACTGTTGTGATATCTGCATAGCATTGTGCCTATGTGTTTCAAACAAGATGTTAACGTAACTAATGGAAATAAAATTAAAGCACAGTGGAGATCGTTTAGACTAGTGAGTTCAACCCTGTGCACAGTGCAATAATCCTAATTAATGCATCCCAGACAGATGACTGTCTCCTACTTGAATGCATCCAACAAAAACAAATCCATCCTGTCTCAAAAATTGGTTCTGTTCTGTAACAGTTCTTACTATTTGGACATTTTTTAAATAACATTCAGTTGGAATTGGTCTTCCTAAAACTCAAATCTATTATTCTGCCCTGCATTCTGGAATAGCAGTAACACTTAAGACATATACTGCTTCACAGTGCTTTACAGCCCTCTCTAAGGGGTTTACAGAGTCAGCATATTGCCCCCAACAATTTGGGTCCTCATTTTACCCACCTCGGAAGGATGGAAGGCTGAGTCAACCTGGTGAGATTCGAACTGCCAAACTTCTAGCAGCCGGCAGTCAGCAGAAGTAGCCTGCAGTACTGCATTTTAATTCATTGCGCCACCACTGTGATGATGGCAAACAGAACTTCTCATATTTTTTGAAGCATGCCATCATGATTCTCCTCAATTGTATTTTCTCAACATTAAATTATTTTTTTCCTCATAGAACTGAATTTCCAAGCCCCAGGTATCCTCACTGTCCTCTTTGTACCTGTTCCAGCTTGACTGAATCCTTTAAAAATGTTAATGCTCAGAACTGGACAAAGTACCTCAATTTGCCCATTGCAGAGCAAAACAAAACTATTCCAAGATTTGGGAGGCATATTTGTATTGATAAAACCTAACATTCCTTAAGCCTTTTCGGAAACCATGACACATTTTTGACTCATATTCAGTTTTATAATCAACTACAATTTCAAATTTCTTTTTGTATATACTATTACAAAGTCAAATATTTCACTTTCTGTGCCTGCACATTTTATTTTCTCCATGAAACGGATGACCTTTCCATTTGTCCCTATAGTAATTGTTAGTAGTTCTCTTTTTAGTACAAAGTATTGGCACACATTGCATCTGAATTGCTGAGCCTAAATATAAGCGAGTTTTGTGCTGATTAATGGAAAAGCAGTTTATAATAGGATGAAGCTCTTATTCTTGGAGGCCAAAAGATTAAGAGGCAATTTGGCCTTCAGGGTTCACACAACACTTGTTTCCCAGCCAACTGAAGGAGACTGTAGTAGTGCAATACAGCAAATATACTGTAGCCTTCCTAATTTCTTAACTATTTAAAAAAAAATTAACTTGTAAATGTTAACCTTGCTTTTAATTTTGTATTGAGCTTTTAGTCCAGTTTTTATATCATTCTGTGATGTTTAAGAGTCACTCAGTCACCTAAGTGAGATAAGGGTGGCATAGAAATTTGATAAATAAACAATGCCAGGGCTAATTCATAATAGCCATCTTTTCAAGTCCAGTTTAGCTGGACTTTTCTTAAACTGTCATTTATTTTTCCTATTCTATAAGCCTTGAGCTAAATGTTAAGGTTTTCTGTATTGCATATACCAATGCTAATCTTTCCTAAATACAGTAATCCTCATTCAAGAAACAAGCAATTGCTCTCAAATACTGTAAAACAATTAGACTATATTTTCAAAGTTGTAACTTTGGGTTTTTGAGGGAAGGGAAGGCTGAGGAAGCTGGTAATTTGCTTCACTGAGTCATACTGGACAACTGGAAACCTCAACTCAATGATGCTAGGTAAAATTGTTCTTCTAACTTTCTGCTTGAATAAAATTCCAACTTGGCCAAAATAGCAAGAAAAATTTCATGCCTACAGAAACTGCTTCCCCTTATCAACAAAAATCTCAACATATTGCTTAATGGTACTGTATTTTCCCTCTTTTTCAATAGAAACAAACCAGAAGCACTAAGATCCTTGTACCCAATCTACAAATCTGGTTTGTTTGTTTTTTTGGTTTGGTTTTTTGCTGTGTGCTAAAGAAAATCATCACACTCACATAAGACCATTTTTCCTGACTTGAGTGTTGTGAAAATAAGGGTGCATCTATGTGAATAAACTACACATACACAATTGTAATAGAATTGACAAAGAAACCTCCATTTCCAATGGAATGATCTCAGTTGCCTGTGTGCAGAAGTCTCTACTCACCTGTGACTAGAATAAGCCAATGAATATCCTCATACAAGTCATCAAGCACTTTATTGTCAATGGAGCTTGATCCAGCTGAACTTATTAATTGCTGATGCCTTTGTAACTGGCCATGAAGCCTTGTCACTCTGTCTTCTAACAAACTGAAGAGAAACATTAAACAAGTTTATCATTTTTTCCCACAATGAAGATGCAATGAATGAAAACAGCAAAGCCCATGTCAAAGGATACACATGACTTAAGCTATACCTGATAAGAAGAGGTATACAGTGTTCAGCAGCAATTCTTCCTAACATGCCTATGCTGGCCAGCTGATCAGAAAATTGTTCTCTGTCATCCTCCTGCAGCTCACTTATTTCCTCTTCCTCCCTGGAAGCCACACCATTGGCAGTCTGAATTGAAAAGAGAATGCAAGCCTGTCACATTGTAAAAACTGATTTTCTAGAATGTGTTAATAGTTTAAATAAAATAGATTAAAAACTGACCCATCATAAGCAAATATAAGGTAATATGTCCAGGTGTTATTCAAGGTGAAAAAGTACAAATGTAGAAAAAGATACACTCTGGATTTGCAGCTATTGCATGTTTCTTCTTTCTCTCTTTGTAATATCAAAAACACAGGACCTCTTTATTGGATAGGACCAAAAGCACACCCAATTCAGCATTCCAATCCCACAGGGGAAAAATCAGCTATCTGTGGAAAATTCTTCTGATCATGTTTCTTAATAATCAGCATACATACTGTTTAAGAGATGAGAGATAATAAACAGCCATAGTGACTAAAAGTAGCATAAACTAGGACCTTCTCCTCCATGAAGCTACCCCAAGTTGTTCCTCATTATATTTTGTGGAAGAAAATTCTGAAGTTACATAGAAACTTATGTTGACAGTCCTGGAATGTCAAGTTTCCTTCCTAATTATTATAGCTAAAGGTCCTAGTTCGTGCTCATTTGGGTCTGTAAAATCAAAGCTGAAATTCTGCTCAACTATATATAGGGGGACGGGGAGATTGTTGACTGAGATCTGCTTAATCCAATTTTCAAAAAAACAGGAGCCATTTACTTCTAATATTATTACAAGCATCAATTCTCCAAACATTTTACAGGATTTAGAACAAAGGAGAATCTCTGGGGGGGAACTAACAATCAACAAACCATGAGAACACAGAGCACAGAGCAAAACAGTTAAGGGAGAAACAGGATCATTACAGAAGGTATTCTTGAATCCAGGGAAGGGGGAAGCACAAGAAAAAGATTCAGAAGAACCTACTTATACTACATATAGGTCAGGCAGGAAAATCAGTTTGGTAGGCTTTTAGAATTCTATTACACTAGTAGCAATAAAGGTATTTCCAGAAATGCAAGTGGTTTTTGCTTTCTATGCTTGTCAGCTTCACGCATTTGACATTAAACTTGAAAGCTCCCTTATTATCTACCATTAAAGAGGACTCAGTCCTGTTCAGGATCTAGACAGATGATTACTGTCCTCAAGATACCTCACTGACAGAACAAGTGGCATAGGTGCTCCATTACAGGAAATTCAGGGGAAGGAGCTACAGATGTTGCACAATGCTGTTGTGCAGTTAATACAGTATTTTGGCAAGCATTTACAAGGACGAGCTCCACGGGTTGTTATGCAGACAGTTATATTCTGTTCCTATGCACGTTTACCAAAGAAACTGTAGAGGCGAGACAATTCCTTACTTTCCCTATTCAGTTCAGCTGGGCAGAATTCCCCACAGACCAGACTAAGGTGGCATTTGAAAGAAAGAGTAGGCAGATGGGCATTACTACTCATTGAAATCAATGTACTGTATGAGATACCTATTAAAATTTTATGTAGATATTCAGAGCTGCTTTTGATGATTCCACCTGGAGAATAATTACTAATTGGGAGATTAATAAATTATGACCTGAAAGATGCCAAATACTTGACTACACAGCAGATTTTCAATTGTATGTGCTAGGGCCATGTGCCAGAATGATTTTGGCCCAATCAATTAGCTTTAAGAAGGTCTCTCCTACTAACTGAAGATCAATTAGTATGACAAGGCACACCTTAGATCTTGGAAGAATTAGTTCAACATTGTACGATGGTTAATGGTAGGCTAGAGAAGTTGAGATCTAGAGGAAATAACCCTTTTTTAGCCTTCCCTTCCCCAAAATTGTCTTCTTGTCTTCCAAGGTGAGAAGCCCAAGGAAAAAAGGGACAATGAAGAGAACCACATTTGCACTAGAGAAACAAAAGGAGACCTTAGACCACAGGTGTCAAACTCGGTTGCGTCACGTATCGCAAAGTTTTTTGCCTTTGCGGAGCTGGGATGGGCGTGGCCTGCACATGATGCATCTGGCCTGTGGGCCGCCAGTTTAACAGGCCTGCCTTAGGCTGTTTTTAACTTCACTAAGCTTCTGTGCTCTGGATTGGTTGTAAACTATCACATTTATACAGTTTTAGGACAGCTTGCAAATAAATATCTACAAAACTCAACATTGGGAAACTTTGCAGAAGCCCCTCTCAAAAACTTAGCTGGACTCCCCCTCCCCCCCCACCCCATCCCTTACAATTAAGAAGAGCTCCAATATCTGACACCAGGAAATAATATCTTTAGGCTTTGTATCTCCTTGGTCACAGAAATCCATCAGCTTTTGGATTCTGGGATGTTAATTTCATAAATGGGGCTATTATGTGGCAGTTGGGCTTGCCACATAACCACTAGTAAACCAATGATAGTGAGCTTATCAATGGCAGATCAAGAACATAAACTTAATTTGGATGGAGGGATATAAATATTTAACAGACTTTGATATTCATAATATCAAGTTTCACTACACTGTAACTTTTGGTCTCATAGTACTATGCTCTGCGCTCCCAGCCGCAGTTACCGTTTCAAACTCAAACAGGACAAAGAGAGGCACCCTGCAGCCTCTTCAGGTTCTTTAATGTTCGACCTGTCCATTAATCTTAAAGAAAGATATCACCTATCTTTGTTGATTAGACAAGGAAATATAATTCTCTATGCATTTTAAGTGGGAAAAGTGTAAATAAGGATTCAATGGCTTGTACAGCAAGTCACGGCTTAGCATGATTTCTAAACCCAATCACTAAGTTCTGGTAGCAAATCGATAAAATAGTACACATCAGATCTAGAAAGAGGTAATTCCATACACGAGTTTTGTACAACTATTTATTAAATGCCTCAAAATATTTTTCAAAGTTCTTTCACAAAACATCAACTTAATAAACTATAAATAACAATTCTGAAGAGCATGCAATAAAGAGAGCACCTGCAGAAAGAGATCAAAGATTTACAGCGAACATAAGCACCAAGATCATAAGCTATGCTGTTTTAAGAATTATTCTTTCTTCTCAACCCTTAGGAAATCACCCACACATTTCTTAATTACAGGTAGTCTTCGAGGTACGAAGGGCCATTTAATCACTGTTCGAAGTTACGAATGCCCTCCCAAAAATGGACTTAAGGCATGGGTTCGAAACTGCAACCAAAAAGAAGCCTCTGGAATCATGTCACCTGGATTCAGTCACTCCTGAAGCAGTGGCCATTTTTAGTCCTATGTCTGCCCTGGTCACCCACAGTTACAACAGGTGATTTCTGAGGCCTATATGGTTGGCACATTTTTTTTCTCTCCTGGTCACGTGATCAACCAAGATCTTTGCAGCAGGTGCTTACTTTTTTCCCCTCCTCACTGCTGCCAGATAGAGGACTAAAGAGTGAATTTCTCATTGCTGCCCTTCTTGCTTCTTTCGTTGCTGTTGCCTTGAGGACTAGAGTACTATAGTTGCCTTGGTAAGTACTTTAAAATTTTCTTTTTCATTGTAATATGGCGCTTGTTTGTAAATACGTTTCACAACCTTTTTTTTTTTTATTACTGTGGTTATTTGCATTTTGCTCTGGAATTGCTAGCAGAAATACTAGCCGGCGTCCATAGGGAACACTTTTAGTTCTGTAAAGTTCCTTTGCCTTCTATGTACTGTTTGTTTGCATGCAGTTTGAAACTGCTTGCAGAAAGATCCTTTGCATTCTACTGTATTGTGTTTGTTTGCTTTTGCTTTGAGGATTAGTGTGCACTACTGTAGAGAGCTTGTAGAACAGCTGATGGGCAGGCAGCAGTGATTTCCTCTGGAGGTTTTTCTCAGTGTCTTCAAAATTCACACCCACACCCACACACATACCCCAGTTTAAATCTGGGCACGTGCCTGGAGTCACTGCAGTTCTGAGGCACATGGATGCCTCATGGGCGAGCAACTGTGTTTTCTTCTGAAGGCTCCAATTGGGGACCCCTACAAATTCTCTTGGTTCACTTTAATAATGGCAGAGGTCAGTTAATGAACTGAAGCAAATAGGAACCCTGATTTTTGTTTATATATCGACTCAGTGGATTCACTTAACAAGTGCCATAAAAGTGTTGTAAAAATAAGTCCAATTCATTTTATAACAGTCATTTCACTTACATCCCTAATGGGCAGGTTCCATTAAGGAACCTGTACTTGAAGTGCAGTACTTGAGGAATACCTGTACTTGAAGTGGATTTAGAGCAGGGGTGAAATCTAAAATTTGCTACTACCGGTTCTGTGGGCGTGGCTTGGTGGTGGTGGGGATAATGTGACTGGGTGGGCGTGGCCAACTTTTTTTTTTTTTAACTTTTAAAAGCATTTTTTCTATAACCTCTTCGGCTGAAAAGGTTATAGGGAAAAAAATGCCTTTAAAAGCCTCTGACGATCCCAGCTGAGCCACGTGATCATCAGAGGCTTTTTTTTTTTCACTTTTAAAAACATTTTTTTTGGCCGAAGAGGTTGTAGAAAAAAATGCTTTTAAAAGTTTAAAAGAACAGCCTCTGATGATTGCGTGGCTCAGCTGGGCATTTGGAGGGGTGTGTGCAGGGATTTTTGCTAATGGTTTTCCGAATCACATGCCCCATTACTACCGGATCAGTCGATCTGGTCTGAGCCAGAAGCATTTCACCCCTGATTTAGAGGTTTTTCTTTTTTTAAATGCAAAACATCCAAGAGGTCAAATTTTAACCTCTTCTGGAACAAACCATTTCCTTCTTTGCTCACCACTGTTATTTTGTTATCAAACATACAAACTCTGCTCACTGCTGCCTTCCAAACCTAAGTGAGAAGTCTGAGTTCTATAAAATGTCCAAAGTAGATTTTCAAACCAACTGCTAAAGAGGAAAAATAAGATTCATACTTCTGTTTCATGATATACTTGAGAGCATATCATTATCATCAACAGTAGCACTAATACCCCCAATAAACAGGTCATCAGACTTATCCCATGTTATCCTCCAGAACTCACTGATTTGTGGCAGTTATACTTATGGTGACAGCTGTATTCTAAATAGGCAAGCCTCCCCCATGGCAGCCCTGGCAGTACCACGTAGTCCTAGCTTTCCAAATATGGCCATTAACCAAGAACCAAGACTCCTGCAATAGCACTCTGCAGTAACATACAGAAAACAGTATTGTTTGTTGTTGAATGCATTAGATTTTAATAATGAAGCTAATTAGTGCAAAACAGAATCGAGAGTAAGTAATTATTTTTAATTATCAACTCACAATTACCATATTTTTCAACTGGGGTATATCAGTTTTTTTTCCCCACAGCATACACACACAACCTTGAAATTCCATCTAAAATCATTGCAGATATCTTAGCAAGGATACTAGAAACTAGAACCAAGCCATGCTTTCATCTTCTAAGATGGTCTTTCAATCCTCTTCCCTTGATCCCACCATCCAATAATGTTCTTAATAGCTGCAATGCCACAGCTGTCTATGGAAAGTGCTTCTTGTTTGAAAAACACTAGCTGCTGCTTTGATATTGAACAAACCAGAAGTGTTTGTATTGTCAGCTGTGGCTTCTAAGTAAACAGGCATGGGGATGAACTTAGAGAAATTAATGAATTTTCTGCGCAAAGTAGGCTGGAATTATCTAGTCACAAACTCAAAGGCCTTAATTATGAAATATATTGGCTGGCACTTTGGCCATCATCAACCTAGTCATTGAGGACTGAGAGTCCTCAAACATCAATGTGTTCTCCGCGCCCAAGAGGAATACTAGAATTATCATTAAATTCTATTTCAATAATCCAAAACTGATAGATAACTAGTGATCATTATACCAGTATAGTTAAACTCTGGTTTCTCAGAATTATAAGTAACAAATCAAGAAAACTGGAGGAGTCAGTATGAAAGGGGGATGGATTTGGATTTCTGCATTATTTTGACAAAGCATTTTAATTATCCCATTGTGGTTATTATTTCATTAGACTTGTCACCTTGTCTTTGACATTTTTTATAGATCTTTTAAATAGAAATTACTGTATTTGAAACCTATTGTGTAATACTGTAAAGATAAATACATTTATTTCTACTGAACAGACAAAATTGGGGCAGAGAGAACTACACTTATCCCCCCCCTCTCTCTCTCTCTCTCTCACACACACACACACACACACCAAAGGTTTAGCATGATTGTTTAATCTTGGTCAATACCTTATTCATGTTTATGTTTAAATAAATCAACTTTTTAATTATTCCACATCTCAAGATTTTCATAATTGCCTCTAGAACTTACCAAATTCCTTGTACCATCAGGAGCAGCTAAGTGGCACTGGATGTAAGAATTAAAAACCTGAACAGCATGCTGAGTGAAGAAGCCTTTGTGGAAATGTTTATCATCTTGTACCAAGGTAAGCCATGATTCCAAGAGCTTGTCATATGCCTCCATATATACCATATCATCTTTGTCAAGCTAAAGAAATAAAGGAAAAATACAAATTATCCAAAAATTGTCAGAGCTTTCATCAACATTTACTCAGTAAATTTGCAAGAATAGTTTCTTCCCATTAGTTGTCTATATATTTAATTCCAATTTTTAATGTGTGACAATACCTATTTTTCCCACTGTTTGCAGTAGGCTTTTAGACTAACAGATAATTTATTGTGATTTGAACCCAGTACACTATAATCCAAACAGCTAGTTGTACAACTGGAGTAACATATGATATTCCTTCCCATTAGTGGTATCTCTACTCTCCTGTCAAAATGTTATACAAATTCCCTCAAGCCTCTGGACCAATTTTCCAAGAATGAGAAAGGAAGTTTGCGTTTGGAAAAAGTAGTCTTTTCCAGTAAACTGTTATTTTTAAAAATGAAAACAAAAATTGATTGATAAATAAACATTACCACATTCACACACACACACACACACACACACACACACACACACACACACACACAGAGAACATGTTTATCTTATGCAAAATCAGAGGATTTAAAACAATTCAAACAGTTTACCTCCCAAATAAAAAGGTAAACCCAATAGTAGCCCAAGAATAAATTATCAGAAAGTGTTCTTATAATAAACATTCTAACTTTTGAAATATGAAGTTCTTAGTTCTTTAAACCTTTACCTGACACACTAAGATTACAATGATCAAGTAATCCAGCAGACTTTTTCAGCAAATATGATCAAGGGTGAATGAGGTAGAGATTTTCTGCTAGTCTTATTTTTCATTTATATAGATACAAAGATATGAACGGAAGAAATTAAAAAGCTATTCCCAAACAATTTAATTGAAAATTTCATTTTTAAAAGAAACTGGATCACAAATACTTCCTAGTATGTTTTAAACTATATATAAAATGACAAGATACGAAAGAAATTAATCTGTGTTTATAAATGTTCATACCAAAAAAACCTCTGACCCCTAATAGAAGAGTTTTCAAAAAAAATTTGGCTGAAGAAGCTATAATTTAAAAATAAAATCTCTCATAACTCCTGATCAAGAGTCAAAAGTCTAGTGACCAATATTTGGCTGAATTTAAGTAATTTCCCCCCCTTAATTTCTCACAGAATCTTGTCAAACTCTCATGGGTCTCCATAGTTCCATGGAACAGAATTTGAAAACCCTGCTCTGAAAGGTTAAACAAATGCAGAGAAGTCCTCCTTTTTCAGAAGTCCATGGAAATGGTTAAAGCAATAGGAGAAGAACGAACTGTGGATACCGATAGCCTTTTAAATTTACAACATTTCACATGACAAACGTGTTCTCTGATTCTTGTTACTTCTCTTTTTCTGAAAAGCAGTACAGTAATAAAATACAGTGAAGGGCAAAAATGGCTTTAGTATACTTCAGAGTTGATGGCTTACTCTTTTTGTTAACTTTTTTCCTTGTATTATTTAGGTTTTATTAGTTTGTAGATGTGTCTAAAACAGAAATTGAAATTTACTAATTTAAAGTAAATTCAATCCAAAAATGTATGAGTATTGCCTGAATAAACTATACTTTTGTATATTACATATCCAAACATATATCTATAAGGAAACTAAATTATACAAAATTGATTTTTCAAACAAAAACAAAAAAGCAACTGGAAAATAATATTAGAAATTACTATTCTGAAAAGTACAAGAAAAGCTCCAATTTTATTTCATTGTTTAAAAATTTCTGCAAATTTTATTAACTATACGCAGAAGAAATGTGGGGTATAGGGGATCAAGTTGATTAGGATGGCATGATTTTCCTATGTGCGTATTCCTTATATCAAATGTTTTTTATATTTTTTCCTTTAATTTTTTTTAATTCATTTAAAAACTGAGAATCAGTTTAACGTAGTGCTGGGCTAGAAACTGGAAAACTATGAGCTTTGGCTCTTAGGTACTAACATCAACTTGGTTAACTTTTGAACAGTCACTTATTCAGGCCACTATGTAAGGTTGTTGTTGTGAGGGAAATAGGAAGAGAGAATACTGTGTACCTCATGCTACCTTGACTTCTACAAAATAAAGGTGGGATATAAATCTAATAAAAAAGAATTAAATCCTGCTTAAGCATTGGAGTTGCTACAATGCTAGAACAAATAACAGATAAGTTCTAGATAATAAATAAATAACAGGAGTTTTCACATCTCCTTTACAAATCTGCCGCTACGGAAATCATTTTTTTCTATTAATACTGACACATTAGCAAAAGCCACATAAAAAAAATTAAACCGGTAATTCCCAACATGCTGGTTAGCTCTACATACTGTTTAAACTAATGAACAATTAATAATTTCACACCGCAATATATAGGGTAATGGGGCTTATTCATTACATGTGAATTTCCAATAGTGAAAGGGGCCACAACAGGCCCTTCCTAAAGAAGACTTTAGGAAGACTTTAGGACTATTTTACAACATTACTTCAAAGTTTCAGAGCTAGCGAAATCAGCATGGTTCAGTTCACACATCCCACTGCTTGTTTTCTCAGTCAACATGACCAAACTTTTCTAATGATTCTATGAGTGGAATGGTCTGAGGTAAATCTCTGGTTATACGGAGCTTTGGAACAGGCTCACGCTTCTGATTACTACAAAGCTCAGTGCAATGCAAAAATCCTCTGCTATTTAAGAAGAATGTGAGAAGATAATTGCCTGCTGCTATATGCTAGCAAGAGCGCTGGGGACATTAGCCCCATGCTAACTACTTTATGGGAATCTGTCAAAGGTGATGAGGAAAATCAATACAACATCATAGTAAAACTCTCACACACACCTCTTTTTTTATTTCTCCACTATGAACTTAAATACACAAAGCAAAAATCAATACTGTAAGGGAGGAGCAAACTTTCTGTTATTTTTTTAAAAAAAATCTATGTAGTATTGTCAGGACTAATAAAAACATTCCTTTAGTAATTCAAGATACAACCATGTGAAATATTCATAAATAAGGTAAAAAGCTGAGTTACTAGATTCTAGAACTATACAGAGATTCAGTTCTGATTTGGAAAACCCCACTATTTTGAATATCTAGAGGCACATATATTGTATTTATCTACAACTCTTTAAAGCAGCTGTATCTTTTGCTGCTGCTATATCTTCTGAAGTATCTATTTAGAATTGGATTGAAGCATCAGATATCTCTCCTAGATTCCAATGCACCGATATCCCATAAGCTTGTCTTTATCAATATGTGGCCAACCCATGGAAATTGTATTTGAAAAAATACATTGTCTACCATAACACTTCTTCATATACTTAAAAAGAACACACATTTAAAACACTTTTGGGACACAAGGACATACTGTGCCAGTATAAACCTACAAGGTATTAAGAACTGTCAATGCAAACTCCTCTGCAGGAAATATTATACCCATCTGGTGTTTGAGATACCGCCATATGTGCCAAAACCAGGAAACTAAAGGCCACAATGATTCAATATCTAAAATTAAATTCTAAAATTAAAATCAAATATTTTATTTTGTTAATTGCTTTCAGCATTGGTGTGATAAAATGGCTTTCTGAATTTCTGAAGACAATGCATTCTAAATGATGGTAAAAATGTAAATGATATTTCATTCAAACTACCAATCTCAAAACAAAATTCATAAGTATTCAAAATAACCTTTTATTCCAATACATTAAACAAAAATCACTATTATAGTTTCAAAAGTGAACACCAGCACAGATTAGGGAAATTGGTCTGCTCTGTCAAATCCACTTAGGCAATATATAGTAGATGCTCCATCCATTAATTACTCTTGACCTGTTCTGCTAAATTTGAAAAGTGGAACAGTTTGAAATCCGCCTCTTACTCCTAAATCTTTAATTTTATATAGCAAAAGATGAAGACAATTCTGGAAGCCCAAACTAGATGTTACACAGATGGTACGTAGATCTCTTACTCAATAGTGGAGGAGAATTAGAAATAAAATGTAGGTAAATTAAAATGCAAGATGAGAGAGATATGGAGTGTGCTTTATAGGAAAGAACAATTAAATGAAAAAAATCCCATTAAATTGGAGACCAAACATAGATTCTTTAACACCAGAAGCTCAGATTCTTAAAAAAACCCACATTACCAGTTTTCATGCCTCGTTCTTACTCAGTTACAACTATAAACCACTATACAGAAAAATCCTTATAATATGAACCCCAGAGTATACAGATTTATTGATTTATTTTCAATTGCTTTAAACTTATAAAGAATGCAGTAAAGGCAACAAAAACATTCGCATGTGGGAAATTATCCAGTTCAACCTGCTACATCCAACAATAATCCCCACACAAAATGTTATTATACCAGGAACTAAAATGTATTAATTGGAGTAACATAATGCCAAAACTTCATTTTTTCATGCTAATATCAAACAATATTAAACTGAGGAAAGTATCAAAACACAACGTAAATATATAGTTCACTGCAGAACTTCTAACTCTGCATCTAGTTCTACTACATCGCTCTAACTCAGGGTGATTTTGTGCTTCATTAGGAGCCTTTAAACCAACTAAATTTCTTCATAAAACAGAATAGGACCATAGAAAAGGATGCAGCTCACTGTAACCATTACAAATTAACTGAGTACTAAGGGAAAAAAATAGTACCATAAGCTAGACATTACATAAAACTAAAAGTATTTTAAAGTTTCAACATTTTGGAAGAACCTCACAAAATTAAAGTTGCTACTTACAACTTCTTCCAAGGCAGCACTTCTTCCAAAAGAGCAAGTGAGATGTGTGAGGCAGTTAACAAACGAAGAGAAAAGTTCATTTGGAATGGCTGTTAATATATTGCGAGGAAATACAGTGATCAAATTGCTGATTATACTGGATATGCCCACAGCTTCAGAATCTTCTATCTCAATCCTGTAGACAAAACATTTTTTTTTTAAAAAAAGAGAAAATCCCAATAACTTTATTGTAAAGTTTAAAAGCATTTCATTATTGCTCAGAAAGGTATCTTTATGTTGTAGTGCTATGCCGCTCTTCAAACTGTTCTTCAAACAACAGAACACAAGTCCCACCTCCCTTCCCCAGCAATCCCAAATTCTAGGAAGTAAGCATATTACCTACCCATTGATAGTATTGAGCAATCCCTCAATGAAGTGAGCTAAATAATCAACTTGAGAGCTTTCATCAGGAAAGACTGGCCCATGAAGAGAGGCTAGCTGGGCTAAACACTGCAGAGAGTCTTGTGCCATATCGGTGTCTTCTCTAATTTTTCGATGCACCTTTTCAGAAGTGAGAGGGTTAACACCACATGAGGAGGTGGAGAGAAGATAGAAGATGTTCTTTTACCATAATCACATGACACACTCCTAAAGAGCATGAGCAAACGCACATGCACCCCCCCACCACATAAACAGCTTTCCCTAGTATCTCGTGTATTAGTAGTCATTCCTTGGTATGTACGCAAACTGCCACTTCAGTAGATCAACTCAAACAGCCATATTAAATTAGTCAAAGCCGGGGACCTACCTACATGTTAAACTGTCTATGCATTTTAAGTCTTAGAGGGAAACAGTTGCCAGCCAGTCAGACATGCTGCTCCTTCTAAAAACAGCAATAATGACAGCCATCTCTATTATGCTAACTATGCCTGGGCTACAGTGCCTTGCTAAAGTTAGTCGACAAGTTCAATCAAGATTATATAGATGCTTCTTTAGTAGAGGTAAACACCAAACTCTCAAGAAAACAAACACATTTCCTAGAAGCAAAATCTTCCTAAACTTATAACTTCCCAACCCTTTTTAGTCTCAATCCTATTGTTTCTGTCTGCAAGGCTGCTCTCCTTTTTGGCACTAGCCTCCTTAGGGGATCCTCATGGACAATAAATCACTCCTATAGATCTATCATTTGTAGACTGAATATTTATAGCAAGCGTGGGCATCAAGAGACCAATCTTTAAAAGACAACCTTGGATGCACAATAGAATTTCTGAACTCAATATCCTGATATGCTTTTAGGATATATTATTATAAACTAATATGGGACAACTGTTTTCTCCTTGTTTAAACAAATTTAATTTTTCAAATGGCCATAACCTAACAAATACTAGTCTCACAATCAATTTAAAGGCATGCTAAATTAATATTTATTTGTTATTATATGTACTTAACATGATTTATGAACTTCTCACAATACATAGTGTTTAATAAATACAAAAAACCTACAACAAAGTATAATCTACAGTTGTTATACCTACAACAAAATACACAGTTGTGAAAATGGAGATTTTATTTTTATTTATAGGAAAAATTTGAAATTTTGCTTCACAAAAAACTAAAATACCTACAAACTAGAATATATTCTCTAAATAATAATGAAAGCCACATGTAATTATTTAAAAAATTAAATTCACGACTGATTTTGTTGACAATCAAAAAATATATTATTTAAATTGAGTTACAAATGGAGCAAATCCACTCTAAATGAGGAATTTATAACCATTATGTAGGAAATAGCTATTTTGGAGATCCAATGAATAACATACAAATAAAACTATTAACCCCTATTTCATTAATATGGAGTTGATGTTTATTGGGAAAAGTGAATCTGGTGAAAACAATACTTAAATCTAAAAAATATTTCCTTTCCCAGCAAGCAAAGGAATTTAACCCAAACTTACTAATGAAAAATTATATTAGAAAGGGTTAACCTGTAAACCTAAAAGCTATTTGCTTGAGGAGGTCCCAGCTGACAGTAGCAACTGTCTGGTTGTCTAGACAGCTGTTCACATTGTGTGCAGCTGTTAAGTGGTCTGCCAGCAGGGTTTTTTTTTTTTATTTTTTTGAAAATGCCTGAGCAAGGTTAAAAACTTACAAGTAACTACATAACCATAACTAAATGTTTTGGAAAAAAAATAGCATGCTATATAAAAGCATTTTTTAAAAAAAGTCTTAAACACATCTATTGTTTTAAAAGCAATAATTCCAAATTCTAGCTATCTCATTCTAATTTATGGGGGGAAAACAGTTGCTGTTTATCTTCCAAAAATAGATTGCTTAAGGCAGTTGTCTAATGCTAAAAACATGGTCCATTTCTCCATTAATTCATAGAAAATTATCGTACCTTGGGGGAGAAAATTTACCCTCATCAGGTTGAAAAAAGGTATTGCTATTGCTATTCAGGAGATGTATTCTTTATCAATTTTTGAAACATCTTTATACTGTAAAAATAAGAATACGCAGCAATTTCTATGTTGTCTAGATTTAATAATACATTAAAGCACTGAGCTAATTCTAGAATAATAGGTATTACATGGAGTTTTGTTAGTTTTAATTTATTTTAATTAGTATTTTATTGTATTTTGAACAATTATTTATTGCATGTTGGTTCTGTTTAACAAGTAAAAATCCTTTTAAAATTCGCATAGATTCTGAGCTTTTAAATACCTACTACTTTTATCTTGTTTTACACCATTTCCTTATATTTTATTCAATTTGTTCCTCGCCTTGGCTTAATTTTTAAACCTAATATCACTGTTATACTATCTCTGCTATGCTTGGTTGTTGCTTCTGAATTTTTCTTTTTTTTTTTCTTTGTTGGATATTGATTGTAGTTAAATTGGGATTTCCTTCTTCTTCATATATTGAACTTGCAGATGACTAGACTGAACATTTCATGAAGAGCTCTTAACTCAAATAGCACAGGCTGGTTCACATGAAATGCCACAAATTCTTATACAGAACTAAGATTCCAGAGGAAAAGCCATATGCATCATGCAGGCACTCTTATGGTACATGCCAGAATAAACATAGGTTTCCTAAATGGAAACATTATCCATGTAGGAAGTTGCCAAATGGGAAGCAGCTTTAATCTCCCTTTAGTTTTGTTTTACTCTATTTGCATAATGCCTAAGAGGAGAGCAGGCATAGCTTAATTTGCATTTACAATCAACTAGAGAAATTTTATTTGACCAGCAATACTAAAGAAGTAGCTGAAAGATACCCAACAACCCTATTCTGTTTAAATCACGACCATTCTTAAATTAAATGAACACAATGCAGGGGAATTAATACAAACATTGACTGAATTAAAGGATTTAACCAGCTGTGTTGGTGAAGCATAGAGTATGATTTATGCAACTCTTACCTGAAGTCTTCCTACCGCATCCAAGAGAGGGAAAAATCCAACAACAATCTAAGAAAGAAGTGATGGGAGCTGTAGCTTTGTTGCTACTAAACTAGCAAAAGAGAACAATGGAACTTACTGTAAAGAAAAGCTCCATCACTCTGCTGTCCAGGAGGGTCTCACGCCAGGACTCTGTTGGCTTTAACATCACATTTTGTGAGGATTCAAACATAGCTATATAATGTCTGCCTAGTTGTCTGGTGTCAAGGTCAACAACAACATTCCAATTTGGCCTTCTTCTTTTTTTTTTTTTAAATCCCTGATACAACAGGTCCCATTCAGAAAGAATGCAATGGAAACAAATTTTAAGCCTCTTCACATACACAGCATAATTCATGCATGAGGACAAGGAATAAAAGACATTGTACTGCAAAAAAGAACACCCTAGGAATGCCAGATAACAGTTTGATCACAATGACGAAACATTCCATAGTGGCTCAATTGTTCCGTAATAATCGTTCCGATGAGACAAGGAACAAAAATGATACCGCATTCAACAGGTATCAAACCTGTCCAAAATATGCTTCATATATTAAAATGCTTTTGGCTGGTTTTATCAGATGTTGCCTGGGCAATTGAAGTCTTTGAAACCTACTAGCATATCCTACATACTTCAAAGGATTCAACTGAGTTTAGCTTCTTGTTAGATTAAAAAATGTATCAATTACACATATGCATGCGTGTCTACACACTTCACAGCAGGGATAATGGATACATGGTTTAAATCTGGAACTTTATATCCCAACCTCATGCACATATGTCACACTAATTTTGATTGAGTTACTTTGCTAATAACTTTATATAGGAGTAGTCTTTAAAAGACAAAACATATGCTATGTTTCAGATAATACAAGATAATTCTATAAAAAGGATATTAGTATACGTAGAGAATCAATGTACAAATCAAACATAATATCATTTTGTGTATTTACATTAAGCACTACCCATAGTTGCAAAGCTATGAATACTTAAAACATAGGGCAGTTATCCAGAATGCATCTGCATTTGCTATTCACTAAATTGCACGTAAATCTGGTAAAAACAGTATATTTGAAAGACAGTTTAATTATCAATTTGCCTAAAGATTCATGTACAGCTTTTGGAGGTTCTTAAACATTAACAAACACAAAAGAGTACATTGTTGAATCTCATGTAACATTCAGGTATTTATTTTGGTTGGTTGGCGAGAGGGAACACCACCACACAGAACAATGGAATTCAATTAGTTTTGTAGTTGAGTACTAATTATTCTAAAAAAAATAAGTATAATAGTTTAAAATTTTATTGAACATTATTCACACCTTTTCCATTGCACTGGCCACATAGTCGAGTCCAAAACTCTGTTGCTAGTTTCTCTATGAGCTTACCTTCTCTCATTTTGTTTTGTTTTTTTAAAAAATCTGCCTTTTTTCCTTTAATCTATAACTTTCTCCTTAAAACTGCTGCCCAAAATTTCTGCCTAACAATAGCTATCTAAAATTCAACTTTTTCACAAGATTTAAGTTTTGCTCATAACTTCTGATACACAGATTGAGACTTGGTTAAGCATAAAGGGTAAATGAAATACGGTACTCTCTCCTTGTTTTTTCCATTTCCCTCTCCTTTTCTTGTCTGTTTATGTTTGACAGTAAGTTTCTTGTGCATAGGGAACCTGTTCATTACCTTGAAAAGCATCAAAGGCAATGATAAAATAATAAATGCTTAATAATAATTGTTCAGAGTCGATTACTTAGTCTTAAGTACTTTTTTTCTATTAAAGTACTCTATATTAAATGCTGACTGACAGACACATAGTATTTAATTTCAAAATGCTAAAAGTACTATTTTAATTTTGAATAAGGAGAGACAACATAAAAGTCCTGTAATAACAATTGCTGAAGAAAAATTGATTTTCTCCTTTTTTCTGTAAGCCAAAACTGTAGCTCTTCACTTTGACAGTTACAGCAAAGTTTCAATGCAGTTTAACATTAAGGCTTGCATAAGGTGATACACATCAAATTCTCTTTTAATTCATCTGTTTTCTGAAGAAGAAATGGAATCAGGAATTAAGAGTTTTAGATGAAAACTTGTTAAAGAATCCAATACGGCCGAACTGGTAGCGATGGCAGCGGGTGGTTCGGAGAATCGGTAGCGATGACAGCACGAAGCTCCGCCTACCTGGTCATCCTGGTTTTAACCAGGAAGTAACGTTTTTTTTACCCTCTGTACATATGCAGAAGGGCTTGCGCATGTGCAGAGGGTCCACACGTGCATGTGACGTGCATGCACAGCATGCACACTTCCGAACCAGTACGGAAAGTAAGTAGATTTCACCCCTGCATACAATCCAGCATTCTGTGACAGGGATTACTTTGGAAGTTCACCCAAGCTACAGTGTGGTGGTTAAATATTAGGACTGAGAAGGCCCAGGGTCCAAATCCACTTTTAGCCCTGGAAGCCAAATGGGTGATTCTGGTGTCATCTCCCCTCCTCTCTCAGCACAACCAAACTAATAGGAATGTCACTGTGGGGAGAAAAAAAGAATGGGGTACGATGTATCATGCCTCAAGTTCTTGGACGAAAAGTGATACGTATATGTATGTAACAAATAAACAATAAGAATAAAGCGTGAACTTCAGAGAAATATTATTTTGCAGCACTGTTTCCCTTTAACCTGTATATAAGACATGTTGCCTATAATTCAGGAAGTAGTAAATGACTATTACTAGTCATTGATAGTCTGATATTTCATGAACCTGTCTTGTCCCCTTTTAAAGCCATCCAAATTAACACCCATTACAATTGCTGGCAACAGATTTCACACTTTAATTATGTAGTTTGTGAAAAACCATTTTGTTCTGTTGCTCTTGAATCTCCCTTCATTTAGGGGAATATGTACATAAAGCTTGTTTTTACAAAACTCTATTATTTTTCCCTTCACTATCTTTTGTTCTAAACAATCCCAAATGTTATAACCCTTCTACATTAGGGAGCTATCCTACTTCTCAAACTATTTTGTTGGCATAAGGCAAGAAGACAAATCTCTAGATTTTTGATATGGCACAACAGTGCCCCCTAAAGTGTCTGATAAGTTGGACCCACAGTTAGAAGCCAGAATCAAAACAATCCAGCTTTTGTTCCCTTAAAAAGCCATGTAATCCTATTTATATAATGTCATAACTTGGGAAAAATAGACTGCATCTTTAGAATTCTATCAAGGATTACTAAAATGGCTTTAATTGCTAAATAATTTTTCACTTGCTATCTAGATCCAGAACATTCAAGGCTGAGCATTCTGGCTTTGCTGGACAAAACAACCTTCCCAGAGAAAGTGGCTTTCACTTTTCCTCTATATTCTGTAGAACTGAGGATGGTGCTTAAAAAAAAAAAGAGACAAAAGAGAGACAAAATATACAGACAGAAAAGTGGAGCATATAAATGTTCCATCAGGAGATCTAGATGCTACCTCTAACTAGATCCCTAGCTATGAACTGTGACAAATATGCTGATAGTCAAGATTTTATTCAAGAAAGTAGCAAGCACCTAGATTAATTGTGTTGATCTTCTTCACAATTCTGCATATGCGATCACTTTTTTCTATATGATATATTCACTTTTCCCAATAAGTACACTTTTCTAACCATACAGTATAGCAGTCTAAGCTTTGATATAAGGGAATTTCTTGGGCTGGACAGAAGTGAAATTTTTGGCAGAGCAGCCAAAAAGTTCCCAGCTTACAGACTAAAGATGTCAAGAAGTTCAACCTAAGCCAACTGGCAGTGGCTTAATATAAAAGTTCTTTATTGGGGAACTCTTAGAAAAGGGGATATGAAGGCAGATTTTAAACTATCCCCTCTCAGTTTGCAATATACAGTAGGGTATTTACCAGAAGTCACCCTTTCTGTCCATTTTCTCTGCCTTTCTTTTAATGTCCTCTCAGAGCTTTTTCAATGGACTATTTCAGAAATTTTGGGGAATGTGGCTTCTACTTTTATGTAGCTATAAAAAGATAATGCTTTAGAGAATAACTTTGCTTATTAGAATAGTAATAACAATAGTAAATATTATGCTTTATGTTCATATTACTCTAATAAATCCACCAATTTTTATTACACTGTATCTAGTTTTTTCATGTGTAGTAAACAACGTTTTTAAGTAGATCAGATAATTCTGGGTGAAAAACTAATAAAGAAATGCCTGATTCTCTATCTACACACACACACACACACACACACACACAGGAATAATCACTATATCTACTTCCTGATAGTCTTCCAGCATGCTCAGATTTTAATCTTCTTTAGATTTAAGATATTGCTTCTCCTTTACAGGATTCATAGTACTGAAACTGAGGTATACTTTCACAGAATTTTGACAAACGATCCAAAGGATATAATTTGGAGGAAGAAAATTCCAGCTTAAGACCTGATTGGCTAGTGCAAGGTAACGTTGAAAAACCGAAGACATCTGAGCATTAAGATTTTCACGCCGGCTGAATTCCTGTAGTACCTCTACGGTGAGCATAAAGATCTGACGGAGATCGTCCTCCTGTGCAGAATAAAGACCAAATGTTTTAATAATCTTTCAATGTTGCCTAATATATAAATCAGCACGCAAATCAAGTTAAACATTTTAATTAAAACTCTCAGACCAACCTAACTCTATCCCTCACGGAATGAATCTTTTACACAGAAATCATGCATTTGCTACTGAAATAACAGTTCTTTTTCATCTGAGAAGTTTAGGTTAATTGTATATGAATAATATCAAAAGAATCACCTAATCCAGTATGCTGTATTTTACAAGCCAGAGGAAATCCACGAAGAGGAAAAGGAGTGTAATTCCACCATCTGCTCATGTACCATTACAACCCACTGCCATTGCTATGCCTCTGAGCATGAAGCACTTCTTTTCTTTCTGTTCTGAATCATGCATCATCCAGGTTTGCTGACCAAAAGACCTTCTCTTACTAGTTTGTTCAAATAACATAACTATAGTCACGATGGCTTTAAAACCCATCTTATTTAAGCCTTTGCTTCTCATGTGATCAGCCAGTTGGTTTTGGTAGGAGTTGGAGAAAGAACCCTGTCCCACTATTACTCTCATATTGCACTCAACCAGGAGTATCATTAGTGTTTTTCTGAACGAAACTGTCCCAAATATTTTAGCCTTTTCTCCCATAAGGCAGGTGTTCGAATCACTTGATAATTTTTTCACAGCTGCCACACGCTAAGTTGATATCATCATTAACATTTACAAATTCTTTTTTTTTTCATGATTAGTAATACAATGCCTTCATCAGTGCATTGTAAAGTTAGATGTCTTTGCCCAGTATGAATTATAGGTACTTCATGCTTCTTCAAACTGAAGTGCATTTACTCATTTTTTTCCTGAAGAGTTCCAAACAATATAAAACTGACATTATAGGCCTCACCCTGTTAGCTTTCCATAAAGCTTTAAAGATCTGGCTATATTCCCGAGCCTGGGATGCTACCTGCATCAATGGCCATGTCACCTAGCTATATTGTTAACAGGCTAGTTGATAGTTAACAGATATTTTTATGTTTCTGAGTCGTTTAAATGGTTTTTATTGTTTTAAAATTTTTAAGATTTTAATTATAATACATGTTTCTGAATTGTGAGCCGCCCAGTGTCGTCTGCTCAGATCAAATCAATCAATAAATCACCAGGCTCAGCAGTGTATATGGGCAGTTGATTTTTCACTCAGTGTGCATCCCTTTACATTAAACCAATTTAGCTGTTTGTTAAAATGCAACCTTGTGTCATTAAGTTTGTTAATATGTAATTAATGACATTAAATTTTCCAGGAATTTTTAGAGAGTTTTAACAAGAGACTTTTGAAAAACCCACGAATGTCTTCCTGACTAATAAATATTTTACTGACACTTAGGACATAGTGATAGGATTCAAGATTTATTTTTAAAAGACAATCGTATACTTTTTTCCTGAGTTTATTTTACTTTGATATGATAGATAATTCTATCTTTAATCATGCGTTCTACATTTATTCAGAACAGATGTTACATTTCTGGCATGTAACCTCCTTGATAATTCCTGGGTTCCATTCCAGTTCTCTAATACAAGTAGAATAATGCTACATATTTTCCCTAGAAGATCAGCAATTTCACATGTTAGTCCTTTAAACCACTTGGATGGACAGCATCTGGAACTAGTTATTTGGTTTCAGCCAATGATGTCAACTCCTTTTGCTTCCAAAGAACGTAAAGATGTTTTGTGGTTTTTAATTGCTGGATTTTTAAAAACTTAATTAGTGGCATGGCTGCTCAAATGCTTTTTTTGTTGTCTGTTTGTATTTAATTTATTCAAACTTGTGATCCTCTAAGCTCTCAAAGCAATAGCATTTAGACTTATATACCATTCCATAGTGCTTTAGGGAACTCTCTGAATGGTTTATAGTGTCAGCATATTGCCCCCAACAACTGGGTCTTCATTTCACCAAACTCAGAAGAACTGAAGGCTGAGTCAACCTTGAGCCCATCAGGATTAAACTCCTGACTGTGGGCAGAGTTAGCCTGCAATACTGCTTTCTAACCATTGCGCTACGACGGCGCCTATCATTTGGAAAGGAATTCTATACTCTCTGGACAGCCTTCCATTTTTATTTCTATAATTTTCTTGGTAGTACTTGCAACCTTTTCTTATGGTATATATGCATTGTAGTTCAATTGTTATTACTTTCATTTGAGTAACTGTGGAAATATATAAAATAGAAGGAAAAGACAAAAGTATCACATAGGAACCCCCCACAATTTCTAATCTGAAGTTTAATTCCTCCTGCATATTAGTATTACACGATTCTCTTCCATATATCTGCAATCTCATGTATCTTTTCCTGTTCACATTGTTCTTGGAAACATAGAAACACATACTTACCTGAAATATTAGTTTGCAATTGCCGTGGAACTCCATGCTTAATCCAATGTTGCTGGTTTTACTTGAACTTGAGAACTCACTTAGCAATGCGGTTAAAATGGAACAGGCCAGAGTTTGCTGAGAAAATTTGATGAGAAAAGATTTATTAGCTGAATAATTTGCTGTATGAAATTTTTATTATATCATACCAGATCTTTTATCATTAAAAATGATAAATGTCACATCTATTCTCAGATTTGGATTTAGTAAAAAAAAAAAAAAGCACTTGTTACTTGGTCTTGATATTGTTGTCTTTGAACCCCATGGTAGTTAAAAAAGAAACTATCTTGTGCATAATAGACATTTCAGAGAATGCCTAGTAATTCAGAAGTAGGAACATTCATCTATTTATTTAGCAACTCTGTATGGTGCCATGATTACAACCCCCAGACTTATTGAAAAAAAGTGACATAAAATATAATAAAACAATAGAGTGAAACTCATAAAAATAGTAATGGTCTAATCAACCATATCTAGGTGCTTACTACCTTGTACCCCCAAAACTCTTTAGAAAAGGTTACATTTTCACTACTGTGTTTCCCCGAAAATAAGTCCCTGTCTTATATTGTTTTGAACCCTGAAATAAGCACTTGGCCTTATTGCCATGCACACTAAAGCCTGATTGGGCTTATTATCAGGGGATGTCTTATTTTGGGGGAAAACAGGGTAGTTGTTGGAATACTGTCAAGGTTAGTGTCAAACTGACATCTGGAAGGATACTAATCCATAGAGCAAGGACCATCATTGGAAAACACTGCTTCCAGCATCCTGTCATCCTTACGTCCCCAAATCAAGACAATATTGTTGGACTAATTCCATTTGGAAAAAGTAGGTGCAAAGATATATAGAGCTTTGTACGTTAAAATCAGCACTTTGAATGACAACCATAAATCTACTAGAAACCAGTGTAGGCTTTCCTTTTATCTGCCAAACTGTAGGCCACCTCATTTTACGACAGCAGCAGTTTCTAAGCAGTATTTAATTGCAGTAATTTAGTCATGATGATGATAAAGGTGTGAGTTATCGTGGTCGTTGCATGTTCATTTTTTGAATCACCAGTAACCAGTTTGACCCAGACTCAATAAGCCCAATGCACTGAAAACTTGGCAATTGGTTGGGTTGTATATCCCTTAGTGGATGACTTTTATTTTATCATGAGAAAACTTACAAAGCTAAATTTGCCATTTATCTTTTTTAAGTTTCTGCTGTTTATTTCTCTTCTGTCACAGTCATTACTATTTCTTCATCTTTTCTGCTTGCTGGGCTTCTTGATTCTTCCCCTCTTCTTCTTAATGGTTATTCTTAAATTGTAAAGGGAAGGAAATAAATGGCCCTTCTTCCCCAGTGACAGTCAGTTGCGTCTCACCTCATCAAGACTATCATTTAGTTTGTCTCTTTATTTGACCCCAGGACTTTGGCTTTGTTTATTCAGCTACTTTCTCACAGGGCCTTTGATGGCAGAGCTCTCAGGCAGCCATCTTCTATTTTTCATTCATCCTCCCTTGTGTTGTGGTCTGCCAGCAGCCTGCGGAGCTGGCAGCGGAGTCGGACAGTAAGGAGCCTGGGGAGGACAATGGGCCAGTCCTGGAGTCAGAGGAAGGCCCGGATGAGAGCTCTACGTCGGAGGCAGAGATGGGGCCAGGATTATCTGGGAGCAATGCGCAGATTCCAGAGCCTCCAGAGGTGGATAGCAGAGAGGCAGAACAGGAGGAGTCTGTTCCTAGTGCACGCATTTGAAGAGCTGCCAGAAGGCAAGAGCAGCTAAAGCAAAAAGGACGACTCAGGAGTAAGGCCAGGAGATGATTGCCCCCCCCCCCCCCAGAAGGCTTAAAAGAGCAGCAACAGCTCTTGGGATCTTTGTAGGAAAGTAACGTTGCTACATTTGTTTCTTGTCGGAGTCTCTTGCTTTTGAACTTCATGGGGTTTTGCCAAGAAAAGCCTTTGGCAGGGTGCCAAAGAAGACAAAGGTTTATGATAAGGCCGAAGGACTATTTATGAAGAATTTGTTTTGGAATTAATTTGGACTAAGCTGAGAATGAAGTAATTGTAAGCTGTTCTAATAAAATATGTTTGTTTAGGACTGACTGTGTCTGGTAATAACTACTTGGGCCTAGGTCACAGCACCTTGTTTGATTGGTGGCTGCTGTTTGATTGGCAGCCAGGTTGGACTGATGAAGGATGAGGGCCAAGAATGCAGGGGAAGGAAGGAGTATGGGTGGAGTCTTCCACAATGGCCAAACCTCTTAACCCATTAAGCCAGAACTGGCACATCAAATAAAACTGGGCAAAGACTACCTTTACAAACCATGATGGAAAATTATAGGCCAATTCTTTCAGGGAAAGCACTACCTATTCAGAATTAAAAGTACAGGTGGCAAAGAACCTCAACAAATAAATAATAACTCCATCTTTATATACTTCATTGGAGATGAACTCTCCTGCTACAAAACCCCTAACTGGAACTGGCACTCCAAAAAGAGTGTAATATAGTTCCCCTTGCTCCCAATTTTCATAGACATTCCAGAAAGATGCCATAATTGGTGATACCGAATGCTGCTGAGAAGTTTAATAATGCCGAGAAGGGCACCTTCTCGGCACTTTCCCTTTCCAGACCCCAACAAAAGTCATCCAGCAAAGCAATCATTGCTGGACTTTCCTTAAGTTAACTCAACTTGATTTGGATTTATCCTATTTTGGGGGCACATTTTGAACTAAGATCAATAAGAATGTATGTGTGTCTCTGGCCTAATCTAGCACAGTATACAAATAATTTTAGACAAATAATTTACTAGGCAAGTAGCACAAACTATCTTTGGGCTGAAAATGTTACTGGGGTACCAATGTGTAAACTTTTCATGTTAAGGTGTTTCAATATTTACTGTTTGTTGAACTTTACATATCTGCAAATTTTTGTTAAGATCATGGCGTATCAAACTGGTAAATGATTATTTCATAATATCTCACTCCTTGACGTGTTATGCAAAAGGTAGCATGTTTTATATTTCTCACAATAGATGTACATACAATGGAAGTGTACAACTATTGGCTTTATTCCTAGACTATTTGGAGCCAAGGTGCCACGGGCGGGCAGAGGAATAGGAATTGTTAAAGGGTCATGAATGCAGGCAAGCGTCCAGGGGTTAAACCGAAATATGCACACTACCTCTGAACCCCCGAAAGATTAAAGTTGTGATGATACTATTTATGCGAGGTCATGCAACAGCTGACAGTAGTGCCATCCGCCCACCAACTGCAATATCTTTGTTCAGAAATGCCTCTGATGTCAATACCTTGACCCCACGCACAGCTAGTTATCAGTCACTATGTACAAAATTGATAGTCCTCTTTGCTATATAAATCCCAAAGAGATAAAAAGAAAATTTTAGAAATTTATGTGAAATATATATATGCAAGCTGAATGTAATGGCTGATATCTGTAATGATCCTGGACTCTCCAGCCACAATAACACAAAGTTTCATATTCATTTTTTTTTACTTTTTATTAGATTTATATGGCTACTGAACTCAAAAACCTAAATTGCACAGCACCTGAGAGAAAACTACAAAAGCATCATACAGTCAGTACAACCAGAAAATGTACTTCATTATATACCCAGGGGCCCAGAACTAAGTCTTCAGAGCCTTGAAGGAGGCCAGGAAAGTTGGGGCCAATCTGATTTTTGGAGGGATGATATTCCAGAGAGCAGTTGCCATGACAAAAAAAGGCTCTGCTCATGAGCCCAGCCAAATGACATTCTCCAAAACAAAGGACACAAAGCATGCCTATTCTGCCAGACCAGATGGGATGGATAGAAACAATTGGTATCCCATAAATCAGAGTTCCCCAAACTTTCAGGCTTTGTGGAACGGTGGGCATGGGGGAGAAGGAAATGGTTGTTCTGACCTAGGCTTCCTGATATAGTAAAAAGCACACAATTAGTCCCAAAACCCCTTTTTAAAATTTTAACGGCTGCGAATTCCTTTCATTCATAGCACGTGCTGAATCACCAAGGGTTTATAAATAGTGCAACAGAAGTCTGCCACAGTCCTTCGGATAAGGTTGGTAAACACCCACCTTTATCTTCTTTGACACAATGCCAAAGACCTAATTGGCAATTATCTTGGCAAGGCCACATGGAAACAGAGTGTCAAAAATGGAGCTTCAAAGTACAAACCGACACCATCCACAACGTTGCTTCCTGCAAAAGCCCATGTGCCTTTGCTCTTCCTTTATGTCTTATGGGAGGGGCCAATCATCTCCAAGCCTTATTCCCGAGTCATCCCTTTTGTTTTAACTGTTCTTGCCTTCTGGCAGCTCTGTGCATGCACGCACTAGGAACAGGCTCCCCCTGTTCCTCTGCCTCTCTGATGTCCTCCTCTGGAGGCTTCGGAATCCACACATAACTCCCAGATGGCCCTGGCCCCGTCTCTGCCTCCGATGCAGAGCCCTTGTCCGAGCCTTCCCCAGACTCCAGGACTGGCCCATGTCCCCCCTCAGCCTCCTCACTGTCCAACTCTGCTGCCAGCTCTGCAGGCTGTGGCAGACCACAACAATGGTTTCACACAAATGGGACACTTGCCCACTGCTCATGGCCTGGTAGTGAACCATGGCCAGCGGGTTGGGGACCCCTGTCATAAGTAATTCAGCCCCAAACCATGAATGGCTTTAAAGGTGACTAGCAGAACCATGAATTGCACCCAGAGGCATACTGGGAGCAATGTACCACATGGAGTTGTGGTGTCACATGAGCTGAAGAATAAGAGCCATTAACTAGATGCACCACTACAGTCTAATTGGCCTTAATGAGAATTTTATTTTATTATCTGGAGCTAGAAACATATGCATTATAGCCAATTGTGGAACGAGGAAGGGTTTGGATTATGCATGAGCAGATAAGAGGCTAAAGATAATAGAATTATATAAGCTGCATTTCTAGTGCTGGAATGCTCATATTCAGATGTCATAGAATTCTATAAAAATTAGAACAAAGACAGCCAAAAATTTTGCTTTTAACAACTGCAGCTCATGGTGCAAATTTAAAAAGCAAGTACAGAGAGAACATCATTCCAGTTAAGGG